TTTTTTTTTTTTTTTTTTTTTTTTTTTTTTTTTTTTTTTTTTTTTTTTTTTTTTTATACATGAATGAATGTAATCAAAACCTTAAACGTTAAAAAAATTTTTATAAATGGAATTTCAAAATGGAATAGTGCTATTAATAATTTGAGACGAGCATTTAGCGTTATGCTGTTATTTGAGACTCAATAATCGTAAAAAAAAAAAAAAAATAATACTTTACAAATTTGTGTGTAAAGATGTGTTTCGAACCATGTATTATAATTATTCAGATGCATGGCATGTAGTAATTAGATAATGTTTTATCTTCTGGTGTTAATTGTATAATGTAATGACGATGCATCTGCAAAAAAATTACTCGCTGAAAATTCTTAGTTCTATATAGACAAGTTTATGATTTTTAGAATACGATGATAATAAAAATTTCAATAATTAGTTGCAATGATTTATCCAGTCTTATAGTTATTGCTTTCACATTTTTTACTTTTTTTTTAACATAGCAGCAAAAATTTCGTAAAAAACATCAAAAGGAAATCGTTTGATATTGAAAAACACATCTAAACACCAACATCCTAAAACTAGAACAACAGTCTCGCTTACTCCACTTAAAATCTAAAAACGTTAAAAACGTAAAGCCCTTATAGAGCTGTACTTTCAAACGATGAGGCTGTGTGATTTGGCGTTGCTGAACATTTGTCGGAGGTACGGCACAGTTCTTGCAATAACGCTGATGATCCATCCCTGATTTTCGCGAGATCAATGTCGGCAAAAAAATCGCTTTTCATCGTGCCAACAGCACTATCGGAGCCAAAGCTGCTCTGACGCTCAACAACCCCTTTTTTACAGTAATCATCAAAAAGATCGAAAGAAGAATCTGAACTTGCTTCACAGAAAAGCTCGTTTTCAATTCTATTCTGTTCCTCTGTTTCTTCTTTTTCATTATTGTCAGTTTTTTTTATGTTTGAAATATTCGCATCGTCAAAGGAAAAGCTCTCGACGTATCCAAGATCCGACTTACCTCGTCTCTTACTTTTACGCTTACTGCTATTTTTCCTCGGTGTTGGGGACTCCTTTGCTTTGGATTTTTGTTTTCTCTTCAGAAAATCTTCTGGTGGTTCAGAATCATCAACATTGTAGGTAAAGGCGCTTTTACACGGCGACTCTTTGGTCGGTGATATTTTTGTTCGCCTTAAAGGTGTTGAAGCAGACATTGATGCTGAATTTGAGGTTTTACACTTATCAGTTACACTGTACAAATTTTTATTAGCTTGCAAACACGACGATGAGTTTTCTTTTTCCGAAGTAGGGACGATAGATTTGCTTATCTGACGTAAGTACATGCCGACAAAACTCCCAGTGGCGTTAAGCTTGAACTTTGAGCTTTCGGATTTTGTACTTGAGCTTTCACTGTTTGGGGAATTTTTATGTTCCACCCGAGAACGATTGACACGATAAGAAGAGCGTTTTGATTCGTTACAAACAAAATTAGAGGATGAAGTAGGAACTATACTTGGTGCATCCGTTTGACCAATGTACTTAATTTTTTCATCGCCTAGATAATTATCTGGATCAAACTTTTCAGATGTCTCCTGAAAAAAAAAATGTTTTATTACATCATATTTTTAGTAAGTTAATGGTATTAATTATGTCGAATATACCTGATTAGTTCTAGTTGAGTTAACACTGAGCTTGTGATCAATCGCAACCTCTTCGTTACAAGTGCTATTCGTGCTACTCTGTCTCGAATACGAATGTACTTTGAATGACTTGTTGCTTGTTGCATCAGTGGAATCTTTTGTTCTACTGTTGAGCCTTGAATATCTCTTCTCACCCTCTTCGGTCTTCTTCTCAGTCGTATCTATCTGTTTGGCATTTTTCACAGGCATTTCAACATTTTCTTTTCCTTTGATGCTCTGCTGGTAGAAATCAGATTCAAGCGTGCTGTCGTCGCAAACGCTTGCTTTCCTTTTTTCACGGTGCACCTGACCTTCGGTAATTGTTTTTAACTGAGGACTCAAGACATCCGGTGTCGTAGACTCACTGCTGCTCGGGCTAGGTCCGGCGTAATTTTTTATATCCAAATCTAAATCCGATGGCAAGGGAGTGTCGGCTGCCAAGTGCATAGCTATGCTTTCTAACCAGAGTTCCATTATCTCGAAAGGTGGTCTTTTATCCGGATTCAAATCGCAACACAAAAAGGCTATCGTGTAAAAGCACTCGGGGCAATTGGCACAGAATTTTTCTTTGAAGGCTTTTTTGTTGAGGCCAAAGTCCGATGAACGCGGAAGGTAATCGGGGTCAGCCTGCACGCGGCCGATTATTTCGCAAACGACGATACCAAAGCTGAAAATGTCGACTTTTTCGTCGTATTTGTTGCCTTTCATCATTTCCGGCGCCATCCAGTAGGGATTGCCAACTACAGTATAACGCTTTTTCCGTTCTTTCCGAGAAGTTCGAACTTCACCGTCTGAGCGTCTGCTGTATTTTCCGGCTGTATAAAGAAGACAAAAAAAAATTTTTTGAGCCATAAAATTAATTTTCAAATGATTTCTTATCCATAAACGGAAGATTATAAAATTTTCTTACTGGAATTTTGTTTATCGAGCGCATTGCCATTTTGTATAATCCTCGCTAGACCGAAATCCGCTACGACGACTGTCTTGTCCTCGCGCACCAAGCAATTGTGAGAATTCAGATCACGATGAATAATGTTCATTGAGTGTAGGTAAGCCATTCCAGCAGCGATATCTTTTGCGAAAGAAGTTCGCTGCTCCCACGGTATAACTTGGCTCGTGTCGTGCAACAGAGCCCGAAGCGTACCTCCCGATATGAATTCAGTTACGAGATGAAGCTTTTTATCTTTGTAAAGAACCCCAATGAAGCGCAATACGTTGTTGTGATGAAGAGAACGTAGCACCGCCACCTGTTGGTTTAATCATCAGGATATAAACTTTCAGACGATTGTTTACGAATCCTCGAGAAATAATTGAACCTCGTAGCAAACCTCTTTTAAAAAGTTTTTCTGCGCCTCCTCATCGACCCTGTACAATTCCTTAAGCACCATGACCTCATTGGTATCTCTGTGAGTGACCTTGTACACTTGTCCAAAGAATCCTTTGCCCAGTAATTCACCTTTGACGAGATCGCTGGCCCGAAATATCCTCTGATTCTTTGGCTCCACTCGAAATGACCTCGTTCGGCTCAGATCACAACCTGCATTGGTCGACGATGCTCTGCAATTAAAAAAATTTCGATGCTTGTATGATTGTAATTTGCTTGATGTAAATTTTTCCTACATGAGTGCAAAAAAGCTTACCCATCCAGCAGCCGAGACATGGAGCTGCTGCGTTCCTTCTGCTGTGGATCCTTACCTCTTCGTAGCTGCCGGCTTCTAGTACCACTAATATAACCCTCGTCACGTCTCTTAAACAGTCTTTCTTTGCCATCCGGACTCGTTTTCGGGCTCAACGTTCGCGATACAATTGATGAGTGAGCCGGTCGCCGTGATACTGTATCCGGATCGTGCTCTATCGTCAGCTGAAGTGAAGGTTATTTATATTTATTATTTATCATAACAAATTCGAGCGACATCTGGTTTCTCACATGTTAATTTAAATTATCAAAATAAGTGGTAAAAATAATCAGCTGTCACTCACCTGTAACACTGTATCCGAGTATCGTATGAGATTTTCAATGCTTTCAATTGGCTGATCTTTGACAGGCGTTCCATTAACTTCTAGTATCCGATCGCCAATGTGCAAGGACATAAGATCACTCGACGTGTTAAGTCTAAAATTTAAATTCAATAATCTTTATTTGTTACATTATTTTTGTTATTTGAAAAAGTGCGCAGTTAATTTTTTTGTGCTTGGTAATGAAACATGCATTGCAAAAAAAATGCTATTCCCGTGGTTGTGAAAAGTAACACTACAATCTTACACTTTCAATGAATTATTTATTACTAATAAAGCCCCGGCAAAAAGCAAATCATTCTAATGAAGCAACACTGTGGGTTCAATCTAGCATTTGGAACTTTATTCATTAGCAATGTTAATAAAATGTGCAATTCTTCGCAAAATTTTATCATGACGTTTTAATAAATACTTATTAGAGTAAATAATCTTAATTTTAATAAAAGATTCAGATGTGCATAACCGCTTTTTTTAATTTGAAACATGCATACATAAAATTTAAAAATAGCTGTTATTTGCCAAAATTGGTTATTATTTCAAAAGTGTGAGTACTATTGCGTCTATCTAAACAATAACGTTCATTATTGATTTATCATTAGTAATACCTATAATTAGAGAAGTGGCAGCATAGCCTAAAGAGAACCTCTGTCATAGAGGTCACCAGCTTACAGATCTTTCCACGGACATTTCTTATCAACCTGCATTTTAGTTGAAAGTTATTATAAGCCTTAAAAAGCTCTACTTGTTTAATTATTTTATGAATTTAATTGGTATTTTGCAATTATGTATATGTTGTATGCTTGGCATGCACGTGAATTTAAGCAAAAATTAAAAATCACTTGATAAAGTGATTATTTCATGATGTTTTGGATTCTTATTGGAAATATTTTTCACCAACAATAAAACAAAACTTTGATCTATACTTACTCGGAAATACGGAGCAATGCACCACCGCCATTTCTTGGACTTGGTGCAGCATCTAAAGTTAATCTGATTCCTCGCTGTTTCTCTTGGTTGTTGACATTTGGTGGTATCTCCACCAGTCTTATACTGTGTGGTTTTCTAATAAATGGATAATTTGCTGTTTTGCTGAGTGGTTGCACCTGTCTTTTGTAACACATGCCACAATAAAGTTTTGATCTTTCCACCAGGGCATAACTTTCTCCATCCCCTATAAAATTTCCACAAGCATTGCATGCAAAACATTCTGGGTGAAATTTATGATCACCAGCCAACATCACAGGGCCTGTGATAATATGACCACATCCTTGGCAAGCTTCTCCATAGGCTGCCCAGTAATCATCTTTACAAAATAGCAATCCATCCTTTTCAAAATACCAGGAGGATAATGCTGCATCGCATGCTGAACATCTGAAACAAATGTGAGTTTTAACATTAAGTGAATTACAGCTACTATGAATAATAATTAATCAATTATGCTGTTACCTAAAGCAATCAACGTGCCATTCCTGTCCAAGAGCTTGAATAAATTCATCTTCGTCGATAGAATTGAAACAGCCATGACAACAACAACCACCACCACCAGGATCTGAAAATTAAAAAAATAGATTGTCATGATATGTAATTACCCACTTTTGATGCCAATAACAATTGAAAAAACTGTTATTTATTTATTTTAAATATTTAATATACTTTACATATTGAGAAAACTGAAATTGTGGAGTAAACGAGAGTAAACAGTTGCTTTAAATACCAAGCTAGCATACATTGATATAGAAATAGCTTTACAATAAAAAAGGAGACAGAAATAAGAAAAATTAAATCACTAATTTAAGTAGACTTTAGGGGAGAAAGATACCATGTAAATGAAAGTATACATAAACGTCCATCGTTTTTCTGTGTTAGAGATGTATCTTAGATCACTGCCAAATGTATTAGATCATTACTAGGCTGACTGCTGTGTATGAGTAAAAATTCGGATCACAATAAAAAAATGCAACAAAACGGGAATTCTGATTATAAAACAATGTGCAAGTAAGTACTCGGGTACTCATATATTATAACTTGAGAGTAGAGCAAAGAGTACACCTGTAGGTGTAGTGTAAAGTTCAGGTATTACATCCAAAAAATAAATAAAGTTGGGCACTGACCTGCTGATTTACTGATTGAAGAGTCGTCCATCTCTGTTCTGGCGTCTTCATCCGATTAAGATCTTGATCTTTCCAGGAGTCTGCTGAGTAAACATGGGGCTTAAGTAATAAGAAGACGGACTGCAGTTTTTGATAACTATAATCCCGTAAGGTAGGTACCCGTAAATTTATTGACATACATAAGGAAATGGCAAAAACTGTCGCGTCGCAGATGGGAATTGCATAAACACACCGTCAACCTCTTCTGCACACGACGAGATCGAAAGAGTCAATAAAAAATCAGTCTTCTTCATAAGGTCAACACAAACACACCGCAACAACAGGTACTTTGATAACACAGCAGCGAGCAGAGCTAGTTTTCGAGGTACACAAAACACTTGGCACAACTGCAGTAACCTCGGATCGGGGAGATTAATCGCACTGCATGCTTTTTTAGGTACATGGACTCAAAGTCTGGCACTTGATGAAAGCAAATGCGTACAAATAATACTTATACACCTACTATTATGTGGAGTCGTCTTAACACGACAGTACCCGCAAACACTGCATGCAATTGCAATGGACGGACAAACATGCACGCACGAAGAAAGAGAGATTGCTGGTTCCGTGCGGACTTTCCCTCTCAGGCTCTCTCTCACTCCTCCCGTTGATGCTGTTTACGTTCTTCTTCTTCGGTAACTGTGACGGTTCAGAACTCGGGTCAGGCCAGCTCGGGCGTTCTCTCTATACTTATGTACTTGTATATTATTATACATATACTGACTCTCTCTAACTCAACTGCTAAGATGCTAAGCATCATCAGCCTCTCAATTCTGAGCTTCGAGCCATAGAGATAGAAGACACTCAATCGACAAAACAGACGCAGATTTTAATGAAAAAAAAAACCTGTTCACATCTTTCATGTATAGGTATGAGTTAAGGTAGGTAGTAAGTTCTGTCACTGCACTGCTGTTCCTCGGACTCGGACCCAGGACTTCCACGCTACAATACTTTATACATATATATGCGCTGTTTTCTCACAATTGTTTACTTGACTATAGCGCTCTTTGCTTCTTCTAAACTCTATAGTTGAAAGCAGCTGAAGCTCTGAACACTCACGAATCACGGACTCACCTGGTGAGCTGGTGAGTCACGCTCACCACAGTCACCAACACACGCGTTGGTGGTATCATCGGCAATGAGCATGACGCCAATAATATCATCATATATTATACATCACCAAATTTTTAAACTAAATGTCATTTATGTTAAAAAAAATATGTATATAAGCATACGACGATTATCGTGATACGTAATTGTATAAAATTAGATATAACTACGATTTTACTGAGAAAAATACAACCTGGTACCCACCTATATTGTGTAATAATGTTAGTGTTCAACGAGTGTATTAATACGACACACTGTAAAAATTCAGATTAATTTCATGATCAAAATGCACTGAGTATAATATAAAAAAAATCTTTACATAAGAATCGTGATTTAAATTAAGTAATAATTAGGTAATAAAACTTTACAAGCTACAACTCAAGCGAATTCAAACGGCGGGTTATTATGTATTGTAATTTAACGATAAAAAAATGTGCACATTCTTTCTAGTTTAATTTTTACAATTTTTAATAGCAAAATCATGGTTTTCATGAAAAAACTTATTTACACGTATAAACAGTGAGTTCACTCTGTAACCTTATTTTTAAAAGAAAAGTTACAAGTTTGAATTAGACGCAATATAAGTAGAACCATTCGGTTAACGACTTGATAAATTAAAAACAGAATCATTATTTTCCGAGTACGAATTGTTGAATGAAATAACTAACTAATCAACGGTCAAATTTTCGAAAATATCGAAACATTATTTTGATACACGCGTCATTTCGGAATTTTAACTTATCTTAAGTTATGTATACATTATTATAGTCATTGATGATGCATCGCACTTGAAGATATCTAAATTGGATTCAATTCGGAATTTTTTCACTTTTATTTAAAAATATCCTTTCATTTTTACTGACAAATACGTTTAACATTATTTACTGTTTTTTAACTTTTTCAAATTCGTTTGCATATTCTCTGATACTTGGTATAAGTTTACCTTGATAATTTTTTATTGGCGTTTTTTCATATCTTATAATTTGCAACCAACATTTGATTTCATTGATTATAGTGTATTCATCTTTCATGAGGTATTTATACTAATTTAATTGTAATTAATGTTACGTAAAGAAATTTAAAAATCATCGCTTTCGCCAAGTCTGAAAATTAAATCGCCAGCGAAAGTAAAAAGTCGCCATTTTGACGATAAGTCGCTTAATTTTGCGCTGCACCTATTGTTGTGCTGGTCACTTTGCTGATGTACTTTTTGACTTCGTTCATACATATAACATAAATTTAGGCAAAAAATTTTACAATCCGCAGAGGAGAGTGAATGTAAGTATCGCATATTATTTTTGTTGTCATGACATGGCTGATCCACTAATTATTAATCCCTTTTTGTGATGATAATATCCGCAAAACTTCTGTTACCTGCAAATGTTAAAACTATATGCCAAACTTGATGGCGGAAAGTTTGAAATACTTTTTGCGTTTACCTTTTTCATTTAAATATATATATAACCTATTTTTTATTGCAGATAGTACACATTAGCAACATTACAGAAACTGAATTTTTTAAAATATACTTCTATAATTCTGTTAATATGGTTCGGTACAGGTTACTAGATATTTATATTATGCACTACAGTAGGCTTTGGTGATGGGGGATGTGGGACTTGTGGGAGCGCTGATTTACCTACTTTTAACTGAATTTTTTTATTGATACGATATACAATATATAGAGTAAGTTAGATTAAGATACAGACATCAGTTGGAATTTGTTATCTGATGCGTGTGGCTATTTTATTGTTTGAGCAGCCATATTATTTTTTTTTGCTATGAACAATATTTAAAATGGATTTTAATAAATGGTAACCGTCGTTCATGGTATCAGAAATGATCAGTCAGCTTTGTTTAGTCAATTTTTTTTATTGTGCACACGTAGCAACAAACAAATGATCCAAGTACTTGTAGTGTTACAAATTGGAACAGAATTCTGTATAGTGCAACCTTGATGGTTTTCCATTAGGTAACATTCAATCACAATACTCAATTTTCATCCTATATATTTCCATTCACTGAGAATTTATATTCCTTAGAATTTCGGCATCAAGAATTACAAACCTTTGAATGATTAGGAAAATATTCTTACAGAGCTTTACATGTGGTATTATTGGGCACCATGTCATTCTTAAGAGGATCTGCCAATTATGTGTGGTGCACAACAAGTGTTCTGGGCAAAGGAGCTACTGGAGCTGTTTTTCAAGGAGTGAATAAGAATAACGGCGAGCCTGTAGCTGTTAAGACCTTCAACCAAGTCAGTCATATGCGTCCGCATGACGTGCAAATGCGAGAGTTTGAAGTTCTGCGAAAAGTAAAGCATGAAAACATTGTCAAGTTATTAGCCATTGAAGAAGAACAAGATGGTCGTGGAAAAGTTATTGTCATGGAATTGTGTACAGGAGGTAGCTTGTTCAATATCTTGGATGATCCAGAAAATACTTATGGCCTAGCGGAAGAAGAGTTTCTACTTGTTTTGGAACACTTGTCAGCTGGTATGAAACACTTGAGGGACAACAATTTGGTTCACAGAGATCTGAAACCAGGAAACATTATGAAGTTCATTGCTGATGATGGGAGTACAATTTATAAACTCACCGATTTCGGAGCTGCCAGAGAACTGCAGGAGGATCAGCAATTCATGTCTTTGTATGGTACGGAAGAATATCTACATCCTGATATGTACGAAAGAGCAGTACTTAGAAAACCCATGGGAAAAAGTTTTGGTGCCACAGTAGATCTTTGGTCTATAGGTGTAACCTTGTATCATGTGGCAACAGGCCAATTACCATTTAGGCCTTATGGTGGACGTAGAAACAGAGAAACAATGTTTTACATAACTACGAAAAAATCGTCAGGTGTGATAGCTGGTGCTCAGACATCGGAAAACGGCCCTATCGATTGGAGTAGAGAATTACCGTCTACTTGTCGTCTAAGTGCTGGCTTGAAAAGATATGTTACTTCACTGTTAGCTGGTCTTTTGGAAGTGGATCAACAAAAAATTTGGAGTTTTGATAGGTTTTTTTCTAAAGTGACCGACACTCTTTGCAGAAGACCAGCAATCAATATTTTCGATGTTCATGGGGGAAGTTTGATTAAAGTGTACTTACATCCAGAAGAAGAACGTTTTGCTGCACTCCAAGCACATATCCATGAGCAAACAGGTGCTCCTCCCAGAGCCCAAATACTTCTGAAAAGTCAAACTCCGATTCTACAACTAGTGGAAGAATCGACACCTGGCAAGGGCTACCCTTTGACCACCGTAGATGATCCGTTGTTTTTATTTTCAAAAGAAAATAACAATGTTGTAACGCCTGCGGACTCGGAGCTTCCTAAATTTCCAGTTTTTGGCGCTGTAGTGTCAGTGGAAAATGACGCTAGTCAAGCGAAAACTGCATGTTCGGTTGGGCACGAATGCAAAAGAAGGATCGACAAAGTAGCTAGGTGTAGTAAACTGTCGCAAGATGCAGTCACAGCATTTGTTAGTTACTTAACGCTGGAAATCAGTAAATCGCTGGATAAGTGCCAAAGGGCCAAAGATATGACCAAGGCTGTTGAAGATTTAACCATAGCCGTTGAACGAGGGGAAACCATAGCAAAACAAGTTTTCATGGGTATTCAAACACACCAAGGATCAGCTTCTTCGATTTCTTCTTCATTAACGTCAACAAATTTGGCATCGACCACGCAAAATACGACTTCATCGTTGTCGTTTGAAGTAAAAAATTGGAAGAAAGAATTGGATCTCAAGAGCAAAGAGCTTTTTGGAGAGCTTGCGCCAGCAATAACTCAATTTCATCAAAGGTCTGGCTACAAGAGTTTGTATTTCTGTCAATTACATTTTGCCCTAATATGTCTGAAAATTAACTTCATCACGCATGTATAGGTATGTTAAAGAAAATTGCTTGAAGAGCGAGTGGGATACAAATACGCGCGCGTTATGGTGTCCTTGGTCAGGAAAAGCCAGTCAACGGGCAGCTACGTTGGTCGATTGCTTGAGAGATGGGTGGCAACATCTCTTGCGAGACCGAGCCACGCGAAGTCTCACTTACAACGACGAACAGTTTCACGTTTTGGAACGAATCAAGGTATACTATAATTATCATTATAATAGAGTAAATAGCCCAAACGTAAAAATAATTACGTGGGATAATTTTTTGTTCACAGGTCACCGAGACTGGACGTCGTATGAAGGAGCTATTGGAGAAGCAGGTGACCCCGGCAATAACTCAGCGCTCCGAGTGCCTCGCTGATTGGTACAAAATGGCTCAAACAGTTTTTCTGCAGACCCAAATTTTGGACAGTGACATAGATAATTACGAGCTCGCCTTGGATAGTTTCTTGTTGCGGTTGTCACAAGAGAGCAAGGAGCGCTATGAATACATTTGTCGGACGTTAGATGATTGGTTGCCCATGATCGGTAAACAGTTCAACAAAGGTACCAAAAAATCTCAGACTGAGTTTGATGAACATAAAAAACGGCGGGCTATGCTGGAGGAAGACAAGTGGCAAGACATTTATTCAATGCAGGAAGAGATACTCACGATATTGTGCACAAATGAATTGCTCGTAGAAGATATCGTCAAGACTACAGCGCAGTTGGCAGCCACTGAGGAGGAGCTGCAAACGTTAGATTTGAATGAGTAGGTAATGCGCATGCGAAGCACGGTGATTGTTTTTTTTGTCAAACAATGTTTGTTGAAAGTGTTAAATTTTATAAAAATCTAGCACGTTGCTGGAAAAAAAAGACTGTAAGTCATACTGTAAATAGAAACTAATTTATTTTTAATGAAGGAAAAAAAGTTACAAATAGGATGAACAAAACGCTTGAAATAAATTAACATAGGTTTTATAGAAGATTCACGATTCTACTCTTTGAATTATATTCTAAAGATGAGCCTTGTATTTTTATTTTTTTTAAGACTTTTTAAAATATTTTTTTATGTTTCTTTAATATTTAAGTAAGTCTGAGCATTTGTAAATCTTTTACTAAATGATTGGTCAATTGGCAAAAATATACTTTTATGTAATTTTTTTTTTTTTTTTTTTTTTTTTTTTAGTCCAGTAATGTGTATTAAGGGGAAGAAAAAAGATTATTTACTCTGGATAAAGACTGAAGAATGTAACAGTAAGTAAAATGTTTATTTATGATTGCGGAATGCCGAATCGTCTCTGTATAATAAGTATTTCATAGTATTACAATGTACAGTAAAAAAATTATTTTATTCACTAAATATCAAAATTTGTCAATTCTTTTGTATCCGTCAACAAAGCTTGCCTTTGCTTTTGTTTTTGTTCCTTATGCTTTTCCTGAGTACTGACGAAATAATCAAATAATTCTTTAAAATTAATTTGATCCCTTAATGTTGGTAATTTTTTGGTAGGAGTTTTTTTTGTATCACTCATTGAGCTGCTCAATGCATGCGGAGGAATGGCGTTCAATCTGCGAAGCAATACCGAATAGATTTCACTCTGTGGGAGAATCATGAGAATACCATACAAAGTATGCACGAGAGCCTCGTTCCTTTGCCGTTCGAGGAGTTCAAGGCGCAAATCTTGAAGAAAAAAAATTTGTTATTACTTTTCTGTAAGCAACATGTTATCAGTAACTGATTGATCATTGATGAATAGCTTACAAGTGAATATTGGAGATTCGATAAGTTGCACTAGTTTGTCAATTTCAACTAAAAATTCAACAGTCACCTCGATATTGCCGCTAAAATTAAATTTCATCAAAGAATATTTCTTTTGTTGCTGTCAAATTTTTTTTTTTTTTTTTAAATAATTTAAAATGAGTATTTTACAAGTACTTGACGACGTCACAAGCATGACTGTAGTTTTGCGTGAGTAAGCATAAAGCAAGAATAGCCACAGGATTATGACACCATGGTTTATATAAACCAAGAAATACTTCAACACTTTTCTGAAAAAAAAAAATTGTAATGATTATATTTAAAAACATTATTTTGACTGTTTTCTCTATATTACGTACCTCTGTGCTCAGATCTTTCAAAGTGTTCCTCAGCTCAAATAATTCCGAACTTGTTAATAAAATTGTATTGAGAGTCTGGACCATGATACCAGCAAATCTATAATTTTGTTCCTCTTTCAAAATATCAGCCAAAACTTTGAAAATCTGTTCTGGGTTCAACAATACACACAACTCTCTGATTATAAAAGCACCTCTTTCTTCCAGAAGATGTCTATCACTTGCAAACAACCTCAACAAGTTAACCATAAACTTTGTAAAATACTTGTTCTGCGCTGTATTGGTGTGTTTAGAGCTGATTAACTCAGCCATGACAACCAACGTTTGTTGAACCACCTCTTCGGAATTATCACTCAACACTCTCATGAGGACAGGAAATAATTCTTCAATGTGAAGATGCATCTTGTCTGGCAAATTAGTAAGTAAATGGTAAATCCATTTTAAAACAGCCACTTTTGTTTGGACGGGCACTTGCTGCATTGTCAAGTGCTTTGTTAAAACTTCAATAATGCTAGAGAGATCCAAACTATCGGACATTGACGTCTCCTCTTTCTTTGAAATGATCAATTTGAAGAGACTGACATTAACGTGTGCAGCAGTGTCTCTTATTGTCTTGCGAGTATCACCTTCATAAGATAAACATGGCAAAATCGCAGTGAAAATACCAGAGATGTAAGGTAGAAGAAGCTGACCAGATAGTCTGACAAATTCGTCCATCCAAGTGATGGCCGTCAATTGAAGAAGCTCATCTGAGCTCTGAGCATGTAAAATGAGAATGTTTATCATCCCTGCAAAATCTACCCTAGATGGATTTGACTTGATACTACGAAAAAAATTAGTAAAAACTACATCTGCAGACTTTTTAATTTCTGGTGTAGGATCTTCTAAAATTTTAAAAAGACCGTCAAGAACATCAGGCAGAAATACAACTAGGTCAATGTCAGGCACTGCATCCAATACAGTTATCCAGGATAAGATAAATTGACGAGCAAAGGGATTTTTTGTGTACATCCTCTCCCTGAGTACTGGTATAAACTCTACCAAGTTAAAATCATTGCTTTCGGTAACAATGTCCTAATGGAGATAAAATGACAAAAATCAATAAAATAGTTTGTTTTTTAGCTATGTTAATTTTTTAGTACTCACTTTCATCAGCCTGTCAAGCAGTTCAGTGGCATTTTTGACACTTTGCTCCGTGTCACAAGCTAATTTGCTGAGGACTCCAAAAATATCATTAAAGTGTGGTAAAATAGCACCTCTCGCTACTTTGACAACATTGTAAAGACTTTCGCAAGCGTAATATCGAACTCTGGAGTCTGCGTCGGAGAAACACGCCAGGATCGGGTGAATGAGTTCTTCAGTGTACTTGGCAGTATGAGGAGTTCCCAATCCAACAGCCATCGCTGCCAAGCCAATCAAGCCTCCCTTCCTGGCATGTGGATTTTGGGAATTGGCAAAATCTTGTCCCAAGACTTTCAACAATCGTTTTATCTGAACAGCGTTGTTGTGTGCTGCAAACTCTTTGACCATTCTTAAATACAATAAAAAATTTTTATGTTATGCACGAGCCTTGGCAAAAATTGAAAAATCATCTTATATCGTAAATTTAAAAGCAAATATGTAGAGCCATAAGTAATTCTGATAAATATTTTTTAGCCTTACTTTTCGATTTCTAAGGCGGCAGCTTTTCTCTTTTCGTAAAGTTTGTCATTCAAAGACTTGACGCAGGCCGCACTAAGCGGTGCGTAATCTTTTTCCGACATTTATTAATTTTATTTCCTAAGCACTGCCCGCTATGTACAAGAACCGCGATTTACATACTATACTTGTTTACTTTCGGTATTTTTGACATCTGGTTTGTTATGTAGGCACAATATATACATAATAATGGGGTAGTAAAGTGTAATCCGCAATCGCCACCAACGACCAACCCCAACTAGTAAGTACATAATATGTAAGTGAGTAAGTGTGACCTGTGTGACAACGTTGCGTGGTTGGGGGCGCTATTGTCGATTTACTGATACAGTATAACAGTACCAGTAGAAAAGCATGCATAACTATGATGACGTGCGACGACATCCGTAAGTTTCCAACCCCATTCATCACCTGTCATCAAATTTCATTATTTAACTACTATTTGATCGTCATCAAGACGAAATAAAACCGATATTCTACAGTACACCTGTGTTATACCATACCGTTGTTTCGGTGTTATACCATTCCAGCGTTCCTGTGTTATTGGCTTATACACCATTCCGTTGTTTCGGTGTTATACCACTTCAACGTTCCTGTGTTATTGGGTTGTACTGTTCCAACGTTCTTGTGTTATAAGTAGTAAATCTACAAATTTTTACAATGTAAACAAAACAAAGCAGGTGACAGAACGCCGAAAAATATCACTAAAAAGAGCAAGTAGACCGACGTTGTCTGCTTTTCTACGTGAGTTTATGTACTTTTAAGACTTAATAAAGCTTTCAAATAAATACACTAGGCAAGGAGGTATTTATTTATGAAAAAAAAAACAAGTTTATGTACTTAAGTATGCCATACTTATCGTTATTTCAATTGCTTTTGTCAATTATACGTAACTCTGTCGTTTTGTATTAGTAAACATGCAACTTGACTCCGCCGTTTTTCCAGCTATTATTTTTATTAAGGTTCAGATATTATAATATGTAGTAAGTAAATTACTGTTTCGTCATAAAACAAAAACATTAAATAAAAATTGCCGTATTTTGTAAAAAAATATGCTTTCAATATATTTATGTTATAAAAATTTACATAATATACAGTTGAAAAATTTTTTTCACAAATTTTCTGATAGATTCATGGAAAATTTAACAAAGTAATAAGTAGGATCGATCAACTTGATAGGTCAATAAGTCGCAACCAATGAAATAAAATTGATAATGATGAAAAATAGTCGCTTTTTAATAATAAAACTTACATTAAAACAGTAATGGTAATAATGAGATTTATAATTATTGTATGTACAGAAATACGAAGCTCAGTCCCATCACAGATTTTGCAACAAACCTGATGCAGGTTTTCAAATAGTGTATACATTTTATCTTTAACTTTTTTTTTCTTCTTCTTCTCAACAAACTTGTCATGTTTGAAATATCAGAAACCAGGCCGTATTATCAGTACCGGCTCACGGGTGGGCATTTTTTACAGTTTTGGTGGTCGTGATCCCTTTTGCTCGTATCGATCTCGACAAATTTTCCAGCAGCACCGCTCCTCACACGCTGCATACTGTCGATGAACCGAGGCCCAACCACAGCACGCGCGTCAACAGACCTGCGTCAGTGAGGCTGCTTCACTTCCAGTAGCTGAGGATAGTTTTCGACGATGTTCAAGAGGATGTTGTCGATGTAGGATCGAAGGCGCGTGTTGACCTCTCGCTGTTCTTTCAGAGCTTGCTTAGCCTGCAACGAAATGGAAAAAATTTTTTTATTTTCCACTCAACTCTAGCTGCTATAGGTCAGTACAGGCGTTTCACTCACCTCGGCGAGGGTCGTAAAATTATCGCAAATATCCGTGGCACTGGGCTTTCCAGTATCAGCACAGTCAGCCTGCAAAGAGGAGGATATTACTCAATTACACAACGATCAAATAACGCACAAGGCTCTGCACCAGCTGTACCATTAGAGGAAAAAGTGCACCCACCTGATCGTGAGCGGATCCGGTCAGTCGCAATTCCGTAGCGAGATTCGGACTGCTCTTCCTCCCGATCGTATTGTCGTTTGGATCCTGCCCCTCTGGCATCAAGAGCTGACGGCCCGCCTGCAGAGCCGCGGCCGCTGCTTGCATCTCGTCTCTAGACTCCTCCAAATCTAAAAATATAACCGAAATAAATTAAAAATGAAAAATAAAAACTTGATACGATTGTAATTCGGAGTGGCTTACCTTTGTAGCGAGTCCTGAGGCCGTCCATCTCGTCGGCCATCTCCTCCAACTTGCGCTCGAGGTCGGCCTTGCGCGCAAGCTCCTCGAGGAGCAGCTTCTTCTCGCGCTCCACCTCCGCGAGAGTGAGACCGGTACGTCGCTCGGCGTCCCTCGCCTTTTCGAGATCTTGCTGCGCGTCCTCGAGAGCGGCCTCCAGCTCGGCAAACTTTGGCCGGAGCTTGTCGAGCTCGCCCCGAAGCCGCACCGCCTCGTCCATCCTCCTCGAGCTCTCTAGCTCTGCGGCCTGCAGCTTTATCGCGTAGTTCTCGAGCTGCAGCTCTTTCTCGCGTTCTAGCCGCGACGCCAGTTCTCGGTGCCTCCGTTGCTCCGACTACACACGTCCAAGATGATGCGTCACTCGGTTATCCTCTCCGGATCGGCAGAGTACAATTTTGAGGGTGTATTATATTATGTACAACTTACGTCGAGTTTCTCCTCGGCCCTGGCCTCGGCGTCTCGGGCGGTTTCTTCCAGCATGAGTATTCTCGCCTGGAGGGTGGCGTTTTCCTGCTTGACGCGGGCGTACCTCTCCTCACCGGCTGACTGCGTGTCCACGAGGGCGTGCATTTGTTCTTGTATCATTTGAACCTGCCGGGCAAGCATTATCAACATTTAAGTACATTATCATATTTTTCACTATTTTTTAATCTACCTAATGGTTTTTCATTGCTGTACGAATTTGAAAAAAAAGATATAATGAAGTTATTCCGTTTGTGCGCGAAGATGGTAAATTCAAGTACTCCATATTCCCGGAGTAGGAGAAAAAAAAAATTATCAGCCATCGCTGGTATCGATTTAAACTCGGTTGAACCCAAGCCTATTTGCCGGTGCACACTATATACACTTGGCTAGCAGAAAATTATGTTGCACGTACTTAAGAGGCTACAAAGATGAAAAACCAGGATAATACCTACTTGAATGTACGGGTAAAACCTTTTTATAGGCGATGCTACAACTGTATACGACTCGGAATATTCCGTTGCACGCAACGGCGGATGAGCAACTACGTGGTAGGTATTCTGTGATTTTGACAGCCGTTATATGTATCGTGCTTTTGAAAGTATACACCTTAATCGATTAGAAAGTTGGAAAAATTCACGTGTGAGTCGACACATGAAAACGAGTGACTAATGTTTTCCGGAGCACAATTAGTACGCGTGTATGATGTATATATATATATGTATGTATACGTTATCCAATACAATCCATGGCAATATACCTTATCTAATCTAAACGCGCTCATTGAGAAGTTCAAAATAACTTGCCGTCGTAGTTTACCTTGTTTACTCGGGGTCCCGGCACTACGATATCATTTATTCAGCTATATAATTCAATCTACCACGTAAGTATGACGAATATCTTAAAGAATGACAGCTCGTGCCTACATACGCAGAGTAGTTTTATGATAAAAAAAACAACGAGGGTAGAAAACCAATTTTTCTTTCTTCTCAACAGAAAGTTGAAAGCCGATGATAAAATTATCATCCCCGATGGCCATATGTCACGCGCTGTCCGGAATAACAAATGAGTGCATACCTATATATTAAGTATACATGCACAAGATACCTCGCAGTAATAGGCTTGAATTCCCACGTCCCATTAAAATGCGCAAACCCAAGTTATGCACATATGTAACATTGGACAAACGCTTGGGGTTACTTTCAGCTGTATTACTCGCAAGTTTTTTCAAATATAGCACACGCGAGGTGATGCGTGGGGTAGAGCTTGACGGAGGATCGACGAGGGTTCGGCGCGCGTGGTGTGACACGACGTCTTGTAACGATTTTTCCTGCGGCCGCCGCGTAAAGTCACGCGAGAGGCGAATGACGATGGAAAAGGTCGAGGGGACCCGAGTGTTGCTAGTCATGCAAACGGTCTAAAGTATAAGAAATATATATATACACCAACACATACTAGATCGGAGTGAGATTAGAATAAAACAAAACTGGGTAAATGCAGAGCCAACGAAACGAACGAGCGAAGGGACGGGTGGGCTTACTTGCTGGTGCACGGGCACGTGGTGCTGAAGTCGACCGAGAGGGTGTTGTGGCTGCCTGGAGGGCTCGAGGCCCAAAAATTGAAACTGGCCCTCCCAGAGGTCGTACTCGAGGCCGGGCGAGCCGTCGTTAGGCCCGGGCCCGTTGAGGGAAGCCGGGCCGCTGCTACCAACGCCAGGCTCCTCGTACTCGGGCCAGCTGCAGTACCCCTCACCACCTCGCGAGCCCTCCTCCTCCTCCTCCTCCCGGCCTAACACCTCCTCCATCGTTTCGCATACTATACGCGTTGTGAGTCGCCGGCAGCCCCTCAGGCGCGAGCCGATCTCGTTTTCACTCGCCTCCAGCCGATGATCTATACTTATAAGCTCGCGCTTCTGCTCTCCCCCTCTCTATCTCGTGCTCTCCTCCGGGCGATGATGTGCAGACAGGATGTTGCGATTGACGCGTATACGCTCTCGGCTCTCGCGCCCCGCCTTTGGTTTCCAAATAAGTCGGGCTTTTTTTAGCGCCTCCTCCTCCTCCTCCCTCCGCGTCGTATACACCGGCCAAGCCCCACTACAGTGTAATAATGCACTACTCTGGCGTTAATCGCCTCGACTGCACGTTATTATATACATACACGTACCGTGTGTCACTTGTTTACTTGAACTTGTAACACTTGAGTTGTCACGCGCTCGATAAGCACGTAGGATTCATCCATACATTATAATAGTGCTTCGGGAAAGCATTTCATTGATTTCTCGGCTTTGTCTGTACTGTTATCTATATTTTCAAGTGCAATCGTTGTACCGATCGTTATCGGTGGCTCGCAATGTACTGTATCGTAAACGAGAAACCCCTGGGCGTCGACGCGAGATAACGCATTTTTTTTTTTTTTTTTTTTTGGTCAACATCAACACTTATGCACTATAGCGCGACAAAAATGTCAAGTGCGGTATTAGTGATTGTCAAACGGGCACGGATGAGGAATATACGTATATTCATGGAGGCACATCACATATCGCACTGCGGAAACCGCGCATATTTCTGCACGTCTAGCGGCTCCGAGAGAGGGAGAGGAGGCGTTTATACACACACGCGCACGCACTAAATTTACGAGTTTCTTCGCTCGAAAAGCAGCGTACGAGTGTCACACGAGCTGGTACTTATGCGTATAATAATAAGGATACAAGACTCCGCGACGCGGATCACGGGTAATCGCGAAAAGCTCGGCGGCGCGACGATCGGACCTCGTTCGTGGTTTCTCTCACTTTTCCGCGGAACCCCTCCGATTCGCAATTAGCCACAGGTGTACATTTTACCACTGGAGCGTAAATTTAGCGATGCGCGCATACATGGTCTCCAACAAGTACAGCCCATATACGAGGGCGTGTAACGTATACGGGAGTAGAGAGAAAACAATTTTCTCTCGGAGGAGTAAAGCTCGCGTTGGCCGAGCGGCCCGTCGACGGCGCACTAAGCGGAGCGAGCGGGCTTTTCTATATTCGTACTCGCGCCCGTCCGTGGAGGCAACGCAGGCGCCGTCGCGAAGACGATGTCACATGCTCTCGGGCGAGGGGAGGGGACACGGGACTGGCTGTGCTTGCAGCCGCTTATTTAGAACCTAGTCTCGTTAATTTTAATTGAGTTTGCCGGGCCCCGAGGCTTTTAATAAGAGGAGCTTCGTCGCCGCGTTATTGGATTAGGGGGTGCAGCAAATACCCTGTGGAAGAATGTGCTTGCTTTGGTGCTCGTCGAATTTGCGGCTATGGTTTGTTTTCGTCGCTACCTTTTTGTTTTTTTTGTTTTTTTTTTTTTTTCAATGTTTTAATTGATGTATATACACGCGCCTATACTCTTGATTTATGGGCAAAGTGTTGGGTTTTCTCTACGACTAAATTTTTTATTTGTAAAGACGATACTTTTACACGCAATACAGTTTTTTCATCCATTCTTTTGAGCTCAAGTATATCCAAGATCGATCGATACCAGTGAATAAAATTCAACATCTAATCCAACGACTCGACCTGATGAATATTAAAAATAGGCTACGTCGATAATATAGAAAACCATTATGGGCTCTACAAAACGAAGCGATATTACAGAAATCTGCATTTCAAAGCTTATACTCTCTCGTAACGTGGGATATTATACAATAGTTAATAATGATATTTTTTTGAAACGAACCCTTTAGTACTACGCGCTATTTATCAAGTCTCTCAGCCAGCGGTCCCAAACCATGTAAAGCGTCACGGCGAACAGTATTAGAAAGATGAAAAAGGTCCAGCCGGGCCAAACCATCACCGTTGATACTGAAGTTTTTGATTGGCAAGCCATGCTTTTTTTTGTTTAGCTTTAATTTTATTTTTTCAACGCCGGTGTTTGGATGTATATATATATATGTATATATATATATATTTTTTTTTATTCAAGTTTTTTTGCCACTTTGGTACTTTATACTTTTCAATTTTGAAATTTTCTTAACAAGAGATTTATCTGGGGCAATGAGTCCGAAAATTTAGGTTAATATTGTTTAACAAGTGAAAGAAAAAAATTAAGTATATCGATAACTTCACGTGTCGAATAAAAAAACAGTAGCGCAACAGGTAAATGGAAGTACGGAATGAGTCGGGGGGATACAGATATCAATATAATTTCCTTTAAACTTTAATGAGACGCTAAAAATAAATTACTGCACATGCTACTTCGACTGTGCGAGAGCTTTTGTCTATGTAACTAATGTAATATTTGAATGGCACCCCGTGTGTGCTGAATAACTTTGGTGTCAATGATTATGCGATCGTCAGAAATGTATAAATGTGATGGTAATTAGCACAGGTACACCAAAAAGAAGCTCTACCCTCAATGAAATTTTATTACCATCATCAAAATGCAAAATTAAAATTTCCGCGACAACATTGTTTAATTTGGCAAATTTAGTTGCGTTAAACTATAGATGAATCTATAAAATAAAAGTAAAATTCGAAGCAATGAAAAACCACTGTGCACACATCCCTGAGGACAGATACCGATACACAATCAAGGTGTTTGTGTTCTTTCAAGTGAATCTCCATTGACTTTGTATCACTTTGTTTAAGGTCGGAAAAAGTAAATACTTAGTGCATGAAAAAAAAAANTTGGCTGCATGGGTATGTATATTAGAGTACAATAGTACAAGAGAGCCTGAGAAAATGAGGTTTCGCGTGAGTCAGCGCAACAAAATGATTGAGACGTCGGTAGTTTTAGGTTTCGGAGGCAAGACTTTTTTTTTTTTTTTTTTTTTTCTGAAAATAAAAAAAAAAAAAAAAAAAAAAAAAAAAAAAAACCACCAGTAGAAATAAAGATATGTATATATGCGCGACACTACATCCGTTGGGTGTATACAAAAAAAAAGTGAAACTTACTCTCTGATTCAGGTCGATGACATCCTCAATGACGTTTCCATCCTCGAGGGAACTATACACGTCATCAGCTGTATCACAGATAGATCCTCGTCCAGAGCTATTGAAGCTGCTGCTCCTGTACAGTTGACTGTAAAAAAATACGAAAGTACATAAACATTTTTTATCTCGTACCTTTTTACTTATTTTTCGATTTACGTTTCATTTATCAATACGTAAAATCTATTCAAGATTATTTAAAGAAAAGATAAACTCTACTTTGTTTCAAAAATAATTAATGTAGTTATTCATCCATACATTATAATAGTGCTTCGGGAAAGCATTTCATTGATTTCTCGGCTTTGTCTGTACTGTTATCTATATTTTCAAGTGCAATCGTTGTACCGATCGTTATCGGTGGCTCGCAATGTACTGTATCGTAAACGAGAAACCCCTGGGCGTCGACGCGAGATAACGCATTTTTTTTTTTTTTTTTTTTTTTTTTTTTTTTTTTTTTTTTTTTNAAAAAAAAAAAAAAAAAAAAAAAAAAAAAAAAAAAAAAAAGAATAAATTATTTTCGCAAAGTAAGCGTTTCGTAAGTGTTTACTCTCTCGCAAAGTGCAGTTCACCTGATGTGTGCAACACTCGACGCTATAACATGCGTTTCAAGCAGAGCAAGTATGCGAAAACTGTACACGTAACTACAGACTCTTACCTGGCCAAGGCATTGGAACTCAGCCGCTTCCTGTTGGCGCTGCGGAAATAAAGAAAGACGATACGCTTTTAGATCGTTTATTGCTCGTTACTATACATATATAGTGAGAAATGTTCTTTTTAGAATACTAATAACTGCTACATACCCAGCTGACGAGCGTCCGAGAGACGTTCGAAGCCACGAGTGCCTGTTCAGCAGCGTTGAGTTTGGACTTCGCGGGTTTCTGAAAAGGAGAAATTTACATTTAAAAGACAATCAAGAGTTTTCATTGAAATGGCTTTGGTTGAAGTGACTTTCGACCACAGTTTCTTATAAAAACCGTTAATTTTCAAAAGATGCCGTAAAATTTGAAAGAGGAAACGACGGTTAATAAAAACAATGGCAGTGAGTCGATTGCACATCGGATAAGACAGGTAGAAGCGATAAAAAAGAAATTACCATATCACACGGAATCGTCTATCGCGTTTCTTGGAACACAAAAGCGCGAACAAAAACCTCTCGGCGTAACTTGAAAATATTACAATAATTTTATTAACCCGAGGGGAAACAAAGGCGTCTAATGGCTCCGTTTCGCTCGGGCAAGACATAAATATCGGCCCGTCACTCACGCGATTACAAAGTGGAGCGTATTGTTTAAAGAAGCTAATTAGCTTCGCCTGGTTTTTGCGCGTATAGTGTGTCTCTCACGGTATAGACCAAACGAAACGGAGACAGCTAAATGACGAATTTCGTATCGAGTAGGTTTACATCTTATACAGTATAAGAAATTAGTAGGTGGTGTATACCTGTGGGCGGGGTTGGCCGTGGGGGACGCGGCAGGCGAGTCCGCGTCCTCCACGGCGCCAAAGGCTTCGAAGCGCTCCTCGTCGAGGTTGCCGACGGCCGCGTGCCCATTGACTCGGGGGCCAGTGTCGCCGGTGCGCCCCTCCGGGGGACTGGCCGAGTAGGGGCCGCTGTCCTCGCGCGGTGACAACGACGTCAATGAGCTGGGCTCGCTCCGGCTCCAGGTCGACGAGCTGCAACACCGAGGATTGCTTTTACGTGACCGAGTACACGATTGTACATACATACATGGGTACAGTAATATTTATCATGGAGCGGGAGGGGGTCTATGTAGGACTGCCGTGGCGGCTCGCGTGCGCGGGTCTGTAACGATCTAACGATCGCCGCGAGTTCCACTTATATTATTGTGTACTTTTATGTGTACCCACTGGTAGTATAGACGACACACGCCGAGTCAGCCTCGAGTCTATAGACGCACGCGTATATATTTATATGTTACACCTGTACATCAATATTTCATGTGCATGCACGGCAGAGTATATATTATATACTTAACGAAACAATGCGAATCGAGCGGGTAAAGTTGGGGTAACCCGAATTATTGCAATGAACCGTGTACAACTTGTACATGCATATTTGTACGTATAATGAGTAAAAATCCAGGAGGCATGTATGAATTATTTGAGAATTTTCAGTCACTGTGGTTTTCTCACTTACATACACACTGTATTCACACGCGCGACACAATGACTTTGTGTGTTCCCATGCGTGCACGCCGATGCAGATGATAATATTACATTGAAATTAAAGCAAGTGGAGTACATAGGTACACCTACAAAAATATACTGAAAATGTGAAGGGGGAAAACAAAAAGAAAGCTAATCGCGCGATTCGCCGAAGCCGCGCCAATTGACGACAATTTTTTTTTCTTTGCTGGAACGCGTATATAATAACTAATTTTCTTTGTGCGCACGAGAGCCCGAGTTTCGCTTCGAGTTTTTCAGGACAGCTAGGTATATGTAATTTGTAATTTGTCATTCCGGCAGAGCACAGGCGGATGTTTTTAGAAGTATGGCTCGCGTTTCCCCAAAATTTAATATATACCTGTGTGCGATTAGTAGGTTCAGCACAACCCAATATAAACGTACTCTTGAAAAAAAAAAAAGGTACAATATACAATGTATATAGGTACACCAAAGGCGGTACTATAAAGTAAGGAATGCCCTAGATCACATAGACGAGGGCAGCGTATCACGCGATCTGCATGAACATTAACATTTTTTGCTTCCGTGTCCCTGATGGTGTACCTATTCGAGTACCTATATATACGATTGTACAAGATATACACGCTGCAATGGTACATGAAATGAAAATTCGCTCGCTTAGCACGTGACGTTGTCATTCGAAGGGTATATAAGTATCTCCGTACTGATTGTACGTAATTTGCTATAGATTTATCGAGGCTTTTCCGTTTTTTTTTTTTTTTTTTTTTTTTTTTTTTTTTTTTTACAATTTAGCGTTTTATCATGACAATATCGTGAACATCGTAACCATATCGATCGCGTAACACACGTATTAATTAAAAAAATGGCAATTAAGCGTGAAAAAAAGTCAAGATCATCTCAAACGCTTGCGTAAATATCTGATACAGTGCACTTGTGTAAATGTTCTTTCAAACGAGTGATAACCGCAAAATATAATACTTGCACTTAATATACACACCGCGTCGTGCAAATGACTTTCAAGTACGCAAAAAATGTAATCAAGAGCGACGCGTGCATGTATAATATACATTTGGTTACCTATACAACATGAAATGGCAATGTTTGATTGGAAGACCTTTCACCCGGCCTATAATAAAACCTACTCGAATTACGTAAGGAAACACAGTATACGTACACGGATGAATGGGTGTATACGTGTTATTGGTACCCATACCTGCATGTAACATGATTACGTTACAACCTACCAAACGTGAGATTGCATGTGCCATTCTATGTACTTTCACAATTTTCGAGACTCCACCTTATTACAATGCAGTGTGATGCCGATGGTGTCCTGAACCATCATTATTACTATTACCCATACGTGAGATTGACGATGAGACGCGCCTAAACTGGGCGTGTGCTTTATGATCGTTAAAGACATAGGTAAACATACATATTTATTTATGTGAAGCGTATACATCCCACCTTCAACCCTGTTTTAGCATTTACACGTAAAATGTATACAATTTTAGCTTAGCATTTTTCGCAGCGCCAGGGGATAGCATTTTTTTACCCGCGAAGCTGAGATCATTACTCCCCCACGTGACCATACGTTATACTTACGTTGCGATGACGTAAAAGAAAAAAAAAGTTGGTTTATTTATTTTTAAAGAGGATCAGACCTGACGACCGTTTAATTATGACGATAAGTTCCGGAAGTCACGTAACAAGCTTTGTGCATCACGTCGCGCACACATCACGTTTTTCGCGTATTTATAATTACTTCCGCCAACTTTTTATTTTTTGTTCATCAGATTTTTTTCAAATCCGTTGATTTTTCTTTTAATTCGCGTGGTTAAACGATAGTGATTGCGTTTGTTTACAATTCAACCGTATTATAGGTACAATGTGCGTGACGGAGAAAAAGAAAAACCAATGGATTGTTTTTTACTGGATCAATGATACATACCACGGATGCGAGTGTTATAAACAATTCTACAGAAAAAACGAAAAATATCTTTGTGACGGCAAATAAAATTTAGACTAGTACACGCTTGGAGGCCTTCATCGCTAGTCCACTCGACGATATAGTTATACCTACGATTTTACGATTTGGCGCAGGTACATGTTCGGGGTACGTGGAATTTTCCGTCTGTTTTACAAATATATATAGATACAAGCGTAAGAAATATGTGTGTATTAAAATAAAAATAGACGCAGCCGCTAGTGTATATATATTATAGATTATGAGGCAGACGAAAAAAACAAATAGGTATATATAGATAGATACACGCGCTCTTATCAGAATTGCTCGTATATCTGTTTTCAGCTTTGATCCCATTATAGTCTTACGTGGATACATCATTCGTGTTGCTCGCGTCATGTGGATTAATTCCCGATTGCCTGCACTCAAGTAAGTACATAAAAATATATTCCGGATTAATTGATACTTTGAGCGCCGCCAAAGTCAACAAGATTACATTTATGATATATTATAACACGCGCACTTGGGGAAAAGTCACGGAAGGTATAAGGTGTATATATATGTATATATACTGTATCTGCTCGTCAAAACGGAACACACTCTTTGTCGATTGAATGAAAAAAAAAAAAAAAAAAAAAAAATCCCCTACGTATCTAGCAACACTGGTGTACCACAAAAAAAATCGAGCTGTCCCATTGTCATGGTATACCATTGCCACCAGCAAGCAAGTATATATTATTATTATTATAATGTAGGAAATAGATGATAACGTACCTGAGCTGCTGGCTGTCGTGAGGCCCAACGTCTAGCGAGGCGGCGTCCCCACCACTGATGCCGAGAACATTGCCGCTCTGGCCGCGCAGGCCATCATTCCTCAGGACCGGCGATCGGGAGCTCACCATCGCCGTCCCCGTCGTCGCTGTTACCGTCGTTGTCGTCGCCGTCGTCGCAAGTACCTACTCGTCGCTCGGGGGTCCTCTCCCCGGTATTGTTATACCCCCCTCCTGTCTTTGCGCTGCAGGTTGCTCCGCAGGCGGCCCCTTGCACATACAGGTATACAGGCGCGTGACTCACGGCTGAGAAATGCCTCTCCCGGCCCCGGTCGCCGCTCCTCTGCTCCGCGAAGCGCTACCTGTGGATCGAGAATCATTATTGTTATTACCTCTTCTTATATGTTACAACAAATACTATACATATATACATGGGGAAAAAAAAATTTGGTTAGTTAAGCTTAATACTATATAGCTGCACAAGAGTGCATGCACAATAACAATACAATACATATACAATGCAAGTAGTGCGCGTATGCGACTTCGTACAAGTTAATTGATATACGTTCGAGGAGGATGTATGATATATACGTATACGGTTATCTTGTCGTTTCGTAATATCATCACCCGATACTTGATCAAAAGTTCACGTTACCAACTTTATAATAAGCGGGCTCGTACCGATCGTATACAATTACATTATAATATATTATACCTACACTACAATGCATAAGCATGCGATGTGATGTAAAGATGATGACATCCTTTGAAGCGCGACTCGTGTCGGAGGCAGTGCTTTTCAAAACTGTTATTCGCGATCGGAACGCATTTTAGTTAACAATATTTATCCATTCCGTATACCTGCTTGGGAAGAGAGATAAAAGGAAAAGAGTCTCAAGAGACCATAGGGATGTTGAAACTCATTGTTCTCGACGATGCAAATTTTCGCGCACACGCATAAATATATAAGGTACACGCCCACGCACGCAGTACACGATACTGCCCGCAGTGCCGCCGCGGATGTAACTTATACTGATTATTCACTCAGGTATTTCAAGTGCGTGCGGATATTATAATGCTCATTTCTCAACATGAATATATTTTGCCGGTATACCAATCAATGTATAAGACGGTTGCTATACACTTGGCGTTGTATTTATACATATAGAGTCGATTCGTGACGCAAAGGGCACGCTATGATTTACTCGCGTAACCGATTTAACATGCATGAAATCGTACCTATACAGACAAAAATCAACATCGGCTTCACCGCAGATTTTCAAGCACGAACTCGGTATAACTCGTCTCTGCTGTATCAATTATTTATGGGCAGCCCGAGTGCACGTGTGAATATTGTTGGTGGTGCTACGGCCTTCTGTATATATATATACATATATATGACTCCCTCCTTCTGTACACACTTGATGTTTCTGCAGTACAATTTGAAATATATCTACTCCTAAGTATAAAATGCACACCTATAATAATAATAAATAAGAGAATAGAGCGAGAACCTAGAAGGTATAAGATACGTGGAGGAAGAAATGCCGATTGCCATTGTGCATGTATACATGTGTAACGTGCATGCACCTGTTATACCTGTTATGTACTACTACCATCACCGATGCACGAGAATTGAGGGGTAAGAGGAGCAAGCAAAAGAGAAAACGTAGGTTAAGTGTATGGGTAAAAGTTATATGGGCACCTATTATATACAGTCTAACTCTGCATCCTTTCCCTGGTGTATACTTAGCTAGCTGCTGCACGTGAGAGCCGGAGAGGACGTCCCGGAGGAGAGAGAGAGATCTCGTCGGGATTGGCTGCATGGGTATGTATATTAGAGTACAATAGTACAAGAGAGCCTGAGAAAATGAGGTTTCGCGTGAGTCAGCGCAACAAAATGATTGAGACGTCGGTAGTTTTAGGTTTCGGAGGCAAGACTTTTTTTTTTTTTTTTTTTTTTTCTTACCGATGCACTATCATCGCTTGGCGCTTCCATTCTTCGGTTTACGCGAGCGTCATTGTTCCCCACACGCAGCGAACAACCAAGTATGTTGGCGAACGATAACGCGAGATAAGACCTACTGCCGTTTACCGACTCGCTAGCTCTTCTGCGACCCGAGAACTGCTATTATACGTTTGCTGTACTATATAGGTATAAGTACTCACTCCACGCTAAAGACCTATGGGACTTTTTCTTTTTTTTTTTTCAACTTTTACTTTCTGCCCGTGTGGGGACGGTACTTTGCAACAATTTTCGCTTGTTTTTTTTTATTTGCATGGGTACATTTATTATTTTACAGAATTTCGTGAGACGAGAGTGTCGGTACGTCGAGTGATTTTCTATAGCGACCGCGTTGCACACTTATATATACTGTGTGGAAAAAAATAGGTGTAATTGACTGTGAAGTGGAAAAAAAAAAAAAAAACTGTGGGCATTTATGCGCAATTAATGTCTTTACATTTACGAATGCCTATATGTATAAACAATGAGTATACACGAGTTACAAGCGCATCGTTTACGTAAGGCTTTCGAAGATGAGGTTGCGTAAGATTGATGCAAATGTTTATATACATAGTGTTGAACGTGAGAACTCGCGGCGTGCTTTAAGTATATATATATATATATATATATAGGCATCAGCGACTCCCAAGCTTCGAGGTATAATGAGCTTCCGATCTTTTTCACTCGATCCCTGGTGGTGGTTTATTGCCACACCGAGATAAGTATGTACAATCCAACGAGAATATAGTGCCTGTACTGCTGATGCAAAATTGCCCCGAGCTCTTAACCAGCCCCCATGCGTTTGGGAAACGGGTACTCGTACCATTTGACCGATTCTCGGAAAGGATAGATTCTCGAATATAGCGATTTGCTTAATTTCCACTCTCCTCTCTTGGGCGCTGTTCCATAGTATAGGTATTGAGACGTTTTCTTTTGTCACCGGCTCAAGCGGTTTTCTCAGTATCGGGATGATGACATCAACTAAAAACTGTCACTTTATCGCTCACGGGTACAATAATTTACGTGTACCAATATTATTGATGCATCAGTTGTACTGTATCTCGAAAACGCCCCCCACCTAACGGTCTGGCCGATGATTCTGGATCATTTTTTTATTCCTGTATGTATATATTATACTCGGTGAAGTAAAACAGAGTGGATCGCATTGCGAAATTCCAATAACCATAACGGACGGTCAGCTAGAACATTTTAAAATAAAACAACAATGGTGACACGCAATGCAAAAAAGCGGAACAGCGAGATAACGCCAGCCATTATGTTATTAAACAGTGACCGGATGATAAGTATACGAAACTCGGAAAAAGAGAGCTTCATGGTCACGTGTATATGCCAGCGCATCCAACATATGTCACATGCATATATAGGCACATCGGTCGTGCTCGCTTTCGAGGTGTCGGAGCGCAAATTGCGTTTCCCCCTACACATCAGGGCCGTTTTGACGCGCTTTCTTCGTTTTACCTCCGACATGCCGCGTGGGTACGCAACTGCGTGTGCGTTCGCTTTTATATACATGAGTATTGTAAGTACGCGACTCCACGCGCGCTCGCGCTCCAAAACGCTTTAGGAACGTTTTCTACTTTTTCGTATATTTACCTACTCATCCTTGCTTTCCCTCTTTTTTTTTTCCCCCAATCGGCAAGCAATTTCATCTCCATTATACCTCGGTCAACTCGATCGAGGCCCGGAAAATCATGTTTGGACCTTCATTTCCTTGTATAAAATTACTTCCACCTAAAGTTTTTTTTTTTTTTTTTTTTTTTTTTTTTTTAGTAGTAGTTTGATATATTATATGCATCGATAAAAATAATCATGTAGCGTGCGATTAGTGCCGAGCTTTGGATTAAAATAATAGCAGACGAGGCAATAAAAGTGTTTTTAATGATTTATTGCGCGGTATGAAAGAATATACTTATTTCGGTTGATTTTAAATATGAGCCAACTTAGCTGTAGCGTAGGTATATTTATACAAAAAAATGTAACAATTAAAAAAATTACAACAAAGTACCCAGTTTAGCTGTACACGGAGCTACGAGAGCTAAATGTATACTATACGCACGGCACACGATACGATACGTGATATCCCGCTCCTCCCCCATCGACGCCCCCTTTAGCTCCCTTTCGGGCATTTCCTGCCCTTTTTTTTCTATCTCATTTACTTTTTTTCGTATTTTTTCGTCTGTGACGCGAATAGCGCGACGTTTCTCATGTGTCCGATGGCTATACATCTCGAGCCGGCCGCCCCGCGCTCACCTTATACCTCCTTTTTGGGTTTCCAAGTATATCGTACATGCCGCACGTGCACGGTACAGAGGAGGCAAATCGCGGAGGCGGAGAAGATCGTGCTGTGTATGAATAGTGACTTTTTTGCGGGGAAAGACGGAGGGAGAGACTGGACTTCTTTTGTCGCTTCCGAGGCGTAGTAAGTATAGTTTCTCCTCGAGTCGTAAAGTTGATTTTACGAATTTTTCTCGCGGACGCCCGCCTGTCGTTTTATTGCGTTTTCTCTCGGAAAGGAAGTCGCCTACATTTGCCCGCACTTTCGAGGAGCATTTTCGATACCTTCCTCCATTATCGCCGCCAGCTTTATCCATTTTTTTTTTTTTTCGCTATCGCCGAACGAGATATATATTTAATCGCGATTCGTTGCAGTTTCTATTTCCACTGATTTGGAAAGTAGACGTGTAGAAAGAAAAAGTCCCCGAGCCTTGACTTTGTTTCAAATCTATCTTTGTACACTGCGAGTCATTTCGAGCTTTTAAAAACACGATCATTTTTTTTTTTGCGTTCGTGCTAAAAAAAAAAAAAAAGCATTTTGTGCGCAAAATCTAGAACTATGCCTTTCCGAGTAAACGTAATTTTGTCGCTGGGCTTGCAAATAATAAAAAGATGTTTCATCTTTCAGGTCGCATTATTCATTAACGCTTAAGAGCACACGATGTCTAAACCGACAGCCAAGCGAACGACGTATGTAAAATATGACGGTAAAAGTTAATTTATGAACTTTTTTTTTTTTTCCTGGGAAGAATGAAAGTAAAAGAAACGTTTGAAGCATCGAAAGAGCACCGCTTGCTAGTTAGTATTTACCATAGATGAAAATTAATATTAATATATTATGCCATTGCTATGTAGTGCAGGTGAAAATCTTAATCAGAGAGGGAGTGAATCCGCGAATTTTCTCAGTTTCACTGCTTTCGCGGTAAACTCACGAGATTCTAGATAAAAAAAAATAGTATACGCACGCGTGTGTGCATGATGCAAAAAAAAAGTAAGTAAGTAAGCGAGAACATTGTGTAAAACATCTCGGACGCATTTGTCGACATGTCGAAGCCCTAGGAGTGCCGGAACGGCTATACGTCTCTGTGTAAGTATATACAGGTACATGTGCCGAAATACGAGGCTCTCATAGGACTTCGGACTTAAAGGCAACTTGGTTTTAATTTCTCACATAAACATGTTGTTTCTTCCACGATCTCCATCAGGTGGGGGTTTTTTTTTTCGGCACAACGAGGGAAGTGAGTAAACCCGCGCGTCACGAATTAGACTGCTTTTTACATGGTGTATGTATATAATTAAACCTACTATTGGGTATATTGTTACACACGAGGGAGATTCAAGCGCAAGCATCCGTGTCACCGTATGTATACCCACGCACCGAGGCTTGATTTTTCAGGTCACGCAGTTGGTTATCGTGAACGAGCTCGTCCAAACGAGCTACCAATTTCTCCTTCGGATTTCACATTTCTCCCACCGTCTCGGTCTTAACGTACGGGTGCGTCAGATTTGTATACACGCGCGCATTGCACGTCTCGAAACTCAAACCATATAGTGTAGCTGTACTCGCCCCGAGATTTTGATCTGCCATGCGAAAAACAACGCCGTGGGCACGTAACTCTTCGATTGGAGGGAAAAAAAAAAAAAAAACACGCGGAAAGGAATGCACGTAGGGGAAACAAAGGGAAAAAAAAACGAGGGGACCTAAAGCGAGGAACAGAATTCCATGCACGCCCATTGTGTGGTGGTGGAGGAGGCTATACGGTATGGCGTGTTGGAAGCCTCCTTTTTTTTCTACCTGTTTCATTTTTTATTTTGCGGGCAAGGGTATAATATACATTCAGTCGACCGCGCGAACCGTCATGGAGCCGTGAAACTTTTTCTCTTTTTTTTTTTTTTTTTTTGTCAATACGTAGCTATTATTTTTTCGCGGAGGACACGCAGCCTTGCTGACGCTTGGCAAGTACAAATATATAGGTAGGTGAGCATACTTTTGGACCTGTGGTCGTATTTTTATCGTCCAAGTTTTAAATTTGGACGCTCGAGAGTTTCGCAAACGAAAAAAAAGCTCAAGCGCCAAGTACGTATACCGATCTGGTCTTTGTGCGCCGACCGACCAACAATTCTAGTGTATACCCGCTCGTGCTAAACAATAATAACTTATTTGACAAGTACCAACATTGCGATTGTTTCGAACAAAGTGTAGTTCAAACGCGAACGAAATTTACATCGCAAGAGATCGGTAAGGTTGTTGCCTCGTTAAAAGAAAATGGCGATCCGATAGATGTGGTTCTTGTATTGCAGGATTAAAATATAAGCAACTGCCAAATACGAGCGGAGGAACGTTGCTCCGAAAACGGAGAGGCGTGCACGCGCGTACACAAGCAAGGGGGACTTTAATTTCCAGCCATACGTAGCGATGGAGCTTTATACCTGTGGAGAAGCCAAGATCGGCTTATCTCGAGTTTTACCGATGTACCAACAGAGTATACATGCAGATGAGTTGGCACTTGTGTACATATAATATAATATATGTGTACTTTGCGACAAAGCATATATGTGTATTCCCCGAGTTGCGATGACGCGCACAGATATTTTGCATGTACGTATCGGCAACGGCAGCCAACCATTTGTCTACGTATCTAATTATCACCGAGTACCGAGTCTCAAATTGCCCGTGAATCCACGATCCTGATACCGTATAAACCATGTTGGAGATAGTACGCCTACATTCGCACCAAAAAATATGATGAACACAGCCGCGTAGTTTCCGTATGCATATATTATTATATGCTAAATTATTACCTGTGCAGCCGGTCGACGACACGATTGTTAACAACTACATTGCACGATATAAATATAGGCTTGTATACCAAGTAAACATGGTATTTATTGACGGCCTTGGGTGCAACTACGCGCAGGACTTTAAATTAAGTAGCGATTCTTGATCAATATTATAGAAGCACGGAGATTCCAAAATTTGCACTGCAACGAGATTTTAACTCATCTGTAGCTGATAGCGATGCTGCTGTAGGTACAGGTACATCTGTATTCGGGAGCAGGATAGAGAGTTGAATAAATTATCGGTGCACGGATGGACGGAAAAACATAGATGGGTCGGTGCATACACCTATAATGTTTATACATAGCGATGTGTACATTAAAGAGCAGACGAGGAGCAGCATCGGGTATATTATAATGTATACCTATGTGTACCTTTGGTATATATATATGTGCTCTGCACTCGGTTAGCAGCAGCAGGCGAAGGGGGAGAAAGAGTTGCATCGGGAAAAGGTGAGATCGTTTCGATCGAGGCGATGATGTTTCTGAACACTCCAACCGATCGGACTGATACAGTCCCTACGTGTAAGTAATGTACCTTTCAAGACATACCTATGGCACAGTTCCTCGAGGTTCCGCTCCGCGCGCACTTCTTTGTATTTTCTCACGCACTGCTCAGGTAGGCAAAAAAAAACAAAAAAAAAAAAAAAAACACTCCTATGCATATACGTATGCTGTGTGCATGTCCTCCCGATACAGGATGTACATCCTCCTTATACAATGGAATGTGCTGCACAACGTGCACCTGTGCACCAGACGATTTCGGAGCAGCATGAGGGACGCTCCCTCGCAGCCTCCACTCTCTGGTAAGTATATAATACACTAGCGCGAGGACTTAATAACTCGAAACGGCGCTTATGTTGTATATTCTTATTGTATATATACCAAGGTGTACTTTTAATAGGCGAGTAGAGAGAAAGAGCGCCACGGAATCCACGCACGACGCCCCGTTCGCCTTGTCTGGTGAACGCGGGGCCACTGGCTGCTGCTGAAGCTCGAGCCGTGACTCCTACCACCTAGCCGCTCACTCTTTTTTCCCGTTCTTGTGCCCACCTACACATATCGTGCTCTCTCTCTATACCTCTGTTGGTTTATTCAGGTATATACAACGCACGTTGACTCTCGTGTCGTCTGCACTGCAATTTTAGTCGTAAAAGTTGTATCAACTCCCTAAGGTTCGTTTCTATTTCGTGTTTTATGTATACATGATGGAGAAACAAACCTCTGGAAAACAATACAATTCTTACATAACTGCAATGTTACATTGTGTGCTCTCCCAACAATTTAAGGTAGAAATATATACAGAATTAATTAAAAATTTTATGTGACTGTCAGCTAACCAAAACTACGGTAGAAGCATGAAACTAAGGTGTGTTCGGCTTAACTTGATTATCGCCAATCGGATAATCAAAGGGTTGGAACTTATACTCGACCACACTGGTTTTTAGATAATAAGGACTTTGGGAGTTGATGTTTTTATAGTACGATCGACTATTTTTTCCTCCAGGCTGCGTAAGAACAGTTACTGTTGCGCGTGAACAAACCTTGTCTCTTACTCTATCAATTGTGTGACCGTAAATGACGCAGTTTAACGAATTGACCCCGCCAAATTGAAATATTTGAAAATCAAGCAATTTTAACTCGTTTACACATGTGATGTGCATGTAAATACACTCCTTATAATACATAATCATGTTGTGTACACAAGCGCGCCTTTGGTGGTAAGACGAACGTGGTAAGATATTCTATTATATTCTTTGTCATATGAATTTTCACGCCATATCAGAAATACAAAAATGATTATGTACATACCAATGACTTTTCTCGAAAAAATGACCACCAACCGATCATAGATCTTCCATTTGTTTATCTGGTCATATGAACTAAAAGTTTGACGATTGAATTGATAAGTTGCATCAGTTGCAGAAATTGTACCCGCTCGTGACATGTATCCTTGGCATTATTATTGCGAAGCGCTAAAAAGATAAATAAATAGCTTGGTTTACATAATTACTATACTGTATACTGAATAACAACGCGACCCAAATTTACTTTTTGAACGCGTTTTTAGCAGAATCAATTTAAAACGTATTTTCACCGGTGAATAACAGTGGCAAAATAAATTTTAATATTAACATGTACTTGGGTAAAAAAATTATTTTCAACTTTAGAAAAAATCTTGGCTTCTGATACTTACGATGGCTCGGCAATCAAGTGGGAACCTCTCTTCTGTTTCTATATTTTATTATTTATCCACGAGGAGATTTGCATTATCTGTATCTTCATACTTCAATTTTTTTTTTTTTTAATGATTTCACCTTTTTTATTTTTTAAAATTATTACTAAATTAGATGTCTCTCAAATTATAAAAGTTATTTTTTTATTACTTTTTTTTAAAAAGACCTTACAATCTAATAATTTAATTTATATTTCGAATTGTTAATTATTTCAACAGTTTTAGGCGCGTACTATTTAACACGACTTATTACCAGTATGTACGAAATTACTTAATTAGCGAGAAATAAAAATTTTTTCGCGATTGGACATTAAATTTGTTTGATAGCACGTCACTTTTTTAAATTGATATCTTGAAAATAAATTTACGAAAAAAGTATACGCCAAAAATAGACGACTGATAATAATATTGTATGATATTCACAAGACAACAGTGATAAGCAAAGTAATATACTGTAATAGGTATTTTCCTTGATCTTCTATCTATCAATCTCTTTATCAAAACTTCCTAAATTTCTTATCCGATCGAATTTCAAGAATTCATATTCTTTTTATACACTTCCTCGTATACTGTAAAAATAAATAAGGTAATTACTGACGTATCTGATCTTATCGGCGATAAAGTGTACAAACACGTTAGTACGTAATACTACATTTGTGTGTATGTGAACATGATAAATTATTTGTAGAAGATAAAAAAAAAGGTTTCAACAAGTACCTAGTTCTTGGATTTTCATCCTCAAAAACATTCTCCGTTCCGGCGTAAGCTGCCTCATATGTGGCAGTAAGCTTATAAAAAAATAATAGTTGTCGTCACAATGATGACTACTAAAGCGTTCAATAGGTGGTATGCTAATGCTGGAATTACTGTCGCCTTCGCCATTCATGCCCAAGCCGTTTGTATTGCTCGTGGCGTTCAATAAAACATCTTCAGGTGAAATGTTTTGCAGCATAATTTCACCCTCGTCTGATTCATTGACAGGAAAATTAACTTGACGTTGCGGTATCGATTCATCCTTTAAATTTTTGTCTTGATTTGCAGCATGTTCTGTTGATCTGAGGTAAATATTTTTTAATAAATAACCAAAAGCACAAACTAGCTAATCGAAAAGTAAAATCGAATGTACGAAATAAGAAGGGTCAATCACCTAGCTACAATGTGCTCGCTGAGAGAATCACTGAATGATCTTTGGCAATCACCACTGTCGTTTGTTGTTGAGCCATTTTCGTGATTTTTGTTGTAATCGACGTTATTGCCATTATTGTGCTCCCAAAGTGATGGTCTAGGAACCATTTGCTCCTTGAGAAATTGTAAGCTTTCAAAGTGAATCCAAACCGGCCGATTTCTTTGGTGTTTGTTTTTCCCACAAACTTGTTCTTTTTTCAATTCTGCGCGAAAAGTGTCCCTCAAACCTTTCCATTTCGCTTTTAAAACTGGTACTGCGACAGTAATTTTCAATAATTCGTTAAAAAATCATGAATTAGTAACGGTAACAATGAAAGAAGTGACGATACATTGACGATTGAAAAATCCCGCGCTTAATGATTGGCCGAGGTGAGGTTAGTACGCTTTGCGGCGGCACAGCGGACGGGCGGATGCGGCGGCAGCTCGCGCGAATTTTCATGCATGTGTGTAGGTACACGTGTGTGCTTGAAGTACAAAAAAATTACGCGCGTGTGATAGTGTGATAACAATAGATAACGTGTCATTTCTAATATCATTGGATTTAACGAGGGAATGAGTAGTAATCTAGGTATACTTGCGCAATAGAAGCGGACGGGGATTGTCAACATCAGGACAAGAAGTTTCAAGGAGACAACAGGTGTGTACTCGTTATGCATGTAAATATTTTCATGTTTTATCAACGATTAATAACTTTGTTGATGAAAAATGATCACTCCCCCGATAAACCGGCGTTTCAATGATCGTGCCTAAATGACAGAATAATATAATTACATGTAAATAAGTACTAACCTGGCATCTTGAAGAGAGACGAAATTTCCATCCAGACTTGATTAGTGACCTCGCGATTGTGATAAGATACGTGCTTTTGATTCCAAAGCGCGGGTCTCTTGAAGATCTCGGCTATCAGCTGATAGGCATCCATCTTCGCTTCATCCACCGCGTCCTTTTTAACATTTTTCTTCCTTTTGCGACTCGTGCCGCTCGACTCCGCTCTGGTGGAGGAAACAATGGCTGGTCCAGCGTGAGGCATGGCGATATATTTTTGTCAAGGACCGCAAAATCCTTCTTAATAAAATAAGCCTTTAACCTTACACTTGATTTTTTCTCTGATGGTCAATAAGTAGGTATACCGTACATGTAAACATCCTATAGTATTAAAGTTACATATACACCTGTTCCACTGAACAAAAACCGAAAGAACGCCAGCAATGCACGTATAAGCACTACAGTATTTGGTCTATACCTAGGTGCTGATGGCCGTGCGTGCACCGGTGCACGCATGGAGCATGGACTGGACCTTATTATAATATATGTGTTATATACCTAAATATAAATATACTCTTTTATAAAATATGAAGTTGTACCACACGCGCAGATCGATTAGCGCACTAGCATAGGACGCCACGATTATTATAGGTACATTCCATGCTCAGTTACATCTCCTCTTTCTTTTCTCTTCTCTCTCGAACTGACGCATATATATACACAGCCCTTTTATATATAGGTTTGCCGGTCATCTGAATCTGAACCTCTGCCACCCGCATATTTACATATATATTGGTATTTATGTTTACAATTTATCATATACATAAAAAGTACATACACCACTTTTTCTTTCAATCAAACTACTTATACCATAATTTAAAGCTAACTACTTGTAATTGTAACAAGGTATCAGTTTTTATCGATCAAATATTTTTTCCCATTGACATTTTTACTGTAAGACGTAGTAGGCAATTTGTGAACTCGTAACACTCATGATTGATGTGTCTTTCGTGATGGTTTAATCTTAATTATTTTTTTAAATGTTGCATTATTTAGGAAATAAGGTTTTATTGCGCTTGCTCGATAAAAAAGTTCATTTTCAGTCATGATATCCAAAATACCAGAATCAGAGCTGATAGCTCAGGGTGCAGAGGCGAGGCTTTACAAGAGCACGTACCTTGGAAAGCCAGTAATTATAAAAGAAAGATTCGAGAAAAAATATAGGCACGCGGATTTGGATGTGCGGCTAACTAAGGAACGAATCAAAGCAGAGGCTCGAGCTATCGTTCGTGCAAAATCAGCTGGTAATAAATTTGTCCATTGCAGGTTTTCTCATTTGAATAAAAAAAAATCATGGAATTTTTTTCCTCAGGCGTTTTAACACCCGCTTTATATCTAGTCGATTACAATCGTCGAAGTATCTTTATGCAATGTATAGAAAATGCAACTATGCTAAAGACATTCATCGATCAACACATTTCCGGAAAAAATTCAGTAGAAATTTTAATTGACAACATTACAACCGCACTCGGTCAAACAATCGCTAAGCTTCATTCGAAAAATATCGTTCACGGAGATTTGACGACGTCTAACATTCTCTTGATAAATGCAGTTGAATTATTAAATGTTAACTTGTCAATGGATAGTAAGTGGTTTTTTTAAGTTTTATAAAGTATATTTTTTAAAAATGACTTTGGATTAAAATAAGTTTTTTTTTCCATCGCTGTTATTACTCAGTTACAAAACAGTTAGTAGTTATTGATTTTGGCTTGGCAAAAGTTGATTCTACTGCCGAAGATGCCGCTGTTGATCTGTATGTTTTGGAGAGATCACTAACAAGTGCTCATGCACAACAACCAAATTTATTCGGATACATTTATAAGAGTTATACGAAATTTTTCAAAAACAAGTCTCAATTAAAAGAAATAGTAACAAAATACGAGGATGTAAAAGCACGAGGTCGTAAACGAACAATGGTTGGGTAAAAAATGAAAAAATTCACATTTTATTTTATAACAAATACACCCCTTGACTTTTGTTTGGTCAATAAATGTATTTTTTTCATTTTCAAGGATGTTTTGTAAATGGCTTGTGCAGAAATTGCTTTTATAAATATTTTTTTCAAAAAGGAATGTTACAAAATTCTCACTTGGCAATCGTTCATTAATTTTTTTTATACATTCTTTATTAAATAGGTATATGAAAAAAGTCTTTATCAGTCAAAATGTAAACCAGAGTATATAATTATCCATGTAACCTACAACAAAAATTAAGAATTTAATAAAAGTTTCCTACGAGAGTTTGCATAAAAATAACAGTTTCATCATATTCACCAAGAATCCAGCGAATGAAGTCATAAATCCTTCTTTCATCAACTCCCATGCTCCGCCAAATTCTTCCTCATCAACTTGTTGAAAACTACTAAAGTACAAATATAAGCTACCAGCATTTACAAGAACGAACCTGAAATGTATTAATCCAATTTAAAATTTGTCACAAATTTTTTTTTCTCAGTCTTATAAATTCATAATACTGTCAATAAGTACTTACAACAAAAGTCCTAAAAATCCTTTTAAAGGTATTAGGCCCCACGCAATGCCAACAATAATTCCAATAATCTGCCTAGCCCAGTAAATAACATCAAGGAATTCTTCCTAGTTTTGGAATTATAATAATTTAAACAATTTGCGATCATTTAATAGTAAAGACAAATTTTAATTACAAGAAAAAAATTTTTATGGGTCAAGTCAAATAGCCCGATTCTCTAAAGGCTCTTATTGTAAAAAACGTAAGGCCACCAATTTTTACAACAAATGAAAAATCCTTAATTATTTCAGCCAGAGTAGATATGAATTGATATGTTTCAGCGATAAAAAGTGAAAAATTGTTCAAACTGAAAGTATAAATTTTTGAGCGAACTGGTGGGGCTAGGTTATGTTTACCTTATCCGGCCACTCGGAATTCGCTGTGACGGCCCTCGTCCAAACGTCTGGGCGAGAGCTGCCATTACTCAATTTGTCCTTCGATCGTGACATCTCTAAAGTTTTTCACTTGCAAAAATGTAATAAAGTTGATAAGTACATACAACACATACACGGCTGCACACACCGTTCGTTACCGAAGAACCACCGATGTCATCGCGTAAACCTCACAAATGCCTCTATCGGACACTTTTCAGCTTCACACCGAAAAGCTCCTATTTCCCCACTACTTATTTTTACTATAAATATACTCAAATTATATGCAAAGTCGACGAACTTCGAAATGTATATCTACTATTCCGATTTGTACGGCAGCTGGTGTGATAACTGCAGAGTTAACACGTATTGATACTACCTATATACAGGGTGTAGAGTGCATAGACCTGTCGATCGACGAGCATATAAATATAGCAGACGAAAATACGGTAGCTATATGTTATATATATATATATATATGCTCTCTTAAAAATGAAATAATTTAAAGTGATGAAATAAATTGGAAATCAGGTTTTTCAAAAAAAATTTTTTTTTTTTTTTAATCAAATCGATTTATTACATGTCGTTCCCGTGTTAAATACAATTGCGTCGAGTACATACACACAACTTTGATTAATAAATTCGATGAAAATAATCGCATGAAGACAGACTAACATTTAAAGGTAATAAAATGATAATAATAGCAACAACAGTAAACGCAGTAATATAACGCAAACAAGAAGACAATAAGAATGAAATTAAATTTAAAAAATGGAATGTATCGTTATAATTGATGATATAAATATTATTATTCACATAAGGAGACAAAAAAAACGTTTGGCCTATACTCAGAGATTGGCCTATTATCACTCGGAATAATGCTCTTACTAATACAACGAGCTTTCAGTCAATTGTATAAATTAAAGTCATATATATATATACAGCACACGCAGGCACCCATATGCACTTCCGCACTTATCCCTCGTTAACGGATACTCTGACTTTGAGAAAAAAGTCGCCAGCTTTGATCCCCGGTACTCCATTAATAGTCTAAATTAAACCGATGTACACGTACAACGGAAATAAAGATATTGGTCACCAGGGATCTTTTCTCGCGTTTTGATTGCAACCAGTCATATCTTCAATTTGGCACGCGTAGTTTTGAGACTCGAACGGTTTAATGTAACGTTTTAGCTATTTTTTTTTTTTTTTTTCAAAGATCTAACTTTATTGGCTTAGTAGTCGTACATATTTTTTTCATTACGCACATGTAATTGTCAACATTCTTTTTGTCGTTAAAAAATCATCTGATCAAAGATATTACAATTCATTTTTAGTAGTAAATTTTTATAACTTTTATATAAGGTAAAAACACAGCTACAAATGTTACCATTAGGTTTTTTTACCAAATCAAAATATCGGAGTAAGTAGAAAAGTCGACTCTACGCTCGTAATTATGCATGATAAAACAAATACTAAGTTTTCTATTAATATTGAAATTTGTAAAACATTCTTACTGATATTTTTTATGATTCGAACGAATCTTGATTTTAACAATTTGACAAAATTTGCTTAAAAAGACTTTTAAGTAATTGATGATAGACGTTCATTGCAAAATCACTTTTCTCTCGTTTACGCGCACACCGAGAAAAAAGACATCATGATTTTCTTTGTGGACTTATAAAAAAAAAAAATTAAGCATAGGAGTATTCTAGATAAGAGCGCAGTTAAATTATGGCAAGTAGCAACACCGAAATTTCGGTAATGTATTAGTTATTTACGTAACGGAAAAGACGATTTCCCGTACGAGTTGCGTACAAGTTTTTTCGCAATAAGTGTGCGGAAAATAGGTGTTTTCCGCACACTATTGCGAAAAAAATAACAAATGCCTTCGTATGCAATCGTAACGTTACAAAAAATTGTGTGACAAAATTATGGGTCAGTCCATCACAGTTGATAAATTAAATTTTGATTCTTGTCTAAAGCTTGGTTTGTTTCAAAAAGGGATACGGGTTTTAAAAATAAACCCTCAAACAATGCCGTATCGGCTTTTAAAAAAATTTTGATACTATAATAATGTATCGGTTTCACGCCATTAAAAAAAATGAAAAAATCACGATATCCGCCTGCTCCATGTACTGTACGTATCGTCTTATTGATCTTGAGCCTATTTATTATCAATCCGTAATGAACAGGCTTGCAGAGAAACAAGATATTGTACATCCACGATATTCCACCATAAATATAGTCACTTATGCACATTCCTATTTACACGTACGCAAATTCGCGCACTAGTTATTTTTTATTACATAAATTAATAAAAACAGCAAAAACAACTGGAATAATAATAATAATGTAGAAATTATGATAAAAACAATGTCCTCGCTTTGGAACTTACGTACATATAATAGTTATATAATACAGAAAACGACAACCAGGGGTGGCTGGAGTTTGAAATTAAAATAGCGTAAGTATTGTAAAAAATTTCCTATATATATGCAGTCTATGTTTTTTTTAATGGTGCACATTTGGATTTCTTTAATATGAATTTGAGGGAACTCATTTTTGGAGTTTTTTTTTTTTGGAGAATTGTCCTTCAACAAGTTCTATATTTGTAAATACGTATTCATGTAACTACTATCAAATGCAGTATCTTCCGAGTAAATTAATTGGTACCGCAATTGAATATCCAATTTTATCACCCCTGATGATAACGTTGATAGATCATAAAAGCATATCGTAATACCATGCAATTAAAACGAAGAAACGAGCTAATGTGTCAGAAAGACGAGCATCAGCAAGAATTACATTTTTTAACTCTTGAGGGATTACCCTAATCGCTATTACAATTGAAACGGTCGAGCTATTTATCCTACGTGGATCTTAACAACTCTATTTATTTCAATTTCCCCCGCATCATAATGTATATTCAGGTAGTGCTACTAGCTTACGTGTTTTAAGTATCCTGCTTATGCGATAAATGATATAACAGAAAAAAACCAGGTACGTATACATGTATGTTTATATAATTTTTTCATCCCAATATAAAAGTCTATAAAAAAAGGTACAAAATAAATCGTTCGCCCAAAGATTGCCGAGACATTCGTTGTCTATAAAATATACATAACTCACGTGACTTGGAAGGCTAAGCACAATTTACGGACAAGAGAAATGTCAAACAAGCAACTCATACGCTATACACGAACTTTCGAAATAAGAGACCAATGATGTAAAAAATATTCAATCAATCGTTTATATTTTGATCGTCTGTTGGAATGCACCGTACTCAAACATCACAACCCTGAGGTACTTTTTTTTTTTTTTTTTTTTTTTTCGAGTGACACTAGAAACGTTTTCTTTTCTGTTTGTCTACACGTCGACCGTGTCGTTATCGTAGTTGAAATTCGAATCGCGAAAGAAAGAGGTGCGTCTAAGTTTGAAAGCCAGTCGATTGTTTGGCTCAGCCTCTTTCTGCATTTCCGGTACCTGCAAGCATTAAAGTACGAAACGTCATGTTTATTTCATCATCCATTGGAATGTGTAATTATTAACAAATACACACACACACACACAATACCACTACCGTTACACGTGTTACTGGTACGCTATATGTGTCGTGTCACTACAATAGTGATGATAACAATGCGTGTACACATTTGTGTAACGTATATTACATAATAACGTCATGTATAAAAAAAAGTGCAGTGGTAAAGGAACATTGACATACTGACGAAAGTACAACAAAAAAGAAAAAAAAAGTCAATGAAACGTAAAAGTGATACCTTAACGGAGGATGGCTGTGCTGGTGGCAGGGGTTCAACGTATCGGCGTAGAACTGACCTCCATGCTGCGGAATACTCTAAAATAAATATATACAAAGCAACGCTAAACAAAAATAAAAAACCAAATCGTGCGTGAAGCCTTTGGATAAAATTAAAGGAACGAAAAAAAAAAAAAAGAAAAAGAAAAAGAAATGAATGGCAAAATAATAATAATAATAATAATAATAATAATGATGATGATGGTTAAAAAAGAAAAATAAAATTGTACACGGGTGTATAGGTACAATGGCTACGGTGGTTTTCTTGTTCGTTTGTTTTTTGGCCCACAGAGAAACCGCGTGACAAGTATATATTATATAAGGTACACAATACTATAAAATAAGAGCGATGATTTAAATGTATGTATATATACATATATATGTATCCAATGGGGTAACAGATATGGCAGCGAACGCCATCTCATCTCTGATCATAAAACACGCTTTTGATGCTTCGCCGTGTTTTACCGTTTTCCTTCTTGTCCGGCTTGGGCTGGCTCGGGGCGCTTCCCTTGGACAAACTCGCGGCCAATTCCCTGACCGAGCGCTTCTCCGCGCCCTTGGCCCCCAACGAGCCACCGACTATGCAACTGGCGGTGAGACTCGGCGGCAGCGAGGCTGGCCCGCAGACTCCGCTGTCGGTCGACTCGTCCAGGGCATCCCCCGAATCCGGGGTGTTACCGGCCGACGTGTTTGGGCTCGAGCCGTCGCTCAACAACTGATTAAAGTCACCTGAACAACCAATCACAATCATTACATCCACCCCCGCCCACGTACAACATGTGGAATTGAAACGTGTAGTCACCGGATTTTCTGTCCGTAGCCATGCTCCAGGGCCTGGGCTTGGGGGCGGTGGTGGGCGGCGAGCGCCTATCGTTTTTCGTCGCGAGGGATCGCAACACCGGCGACTTGGCCGTGGTCGCCCCGTTCGTCGGACTGGCCACCGCGAATTTCCGCACCGAGGACATGATGCTGCCGCCCTTTCCACTGCCATCGCTGCTCGACTCGATGCCGCTCTGCTCTTTGACCGAGTCCACCCCTACCGACGCTTGAGCTGAAAAATTGACATGGGCACTGACATACCATACACATGACATGAAAATACACGTCCACTGTATGGGGTAGGTACGTACCTGGGGATTGTTCCTCGGTGGTCGGGTCCCTGGGGCTGTCGTTGCGGCGTGCGAGGGGCGAGGCAGTGAGGGGTGAGTCGCCGTGCGACCTGCGCCCGACGAGCGGCGAGAACTTGGCCACGTCGTCGCTGGAGCGCGACCTGGCCGTGGGGGAGGCGTCGACCACGTGTTGGCCCTTGGGTGTCGCAACGGCGGCCGGGCTCTTTTGGCTGGTCACGGAGGGGCTCGGACTGCCGCTGTCCTGGCTGGGGTTGGGGAAGGCGCAGTTGAGCGAGCTGTCGCTCGTGGGCGAGCCGACCACGGGGGTCGTGGGTGTGGTGGGCCTGAAGAAGACGTCGAGGCCTTCGCCGAGGGCAATGCCGTCGGTGCCGGGGACGTCGGGTCGGAGCATGGGCCTCGTGGGGGCTCGCGTCTTTGCTCGCCGGGGTCTGGACTTGACCAGGTGTTGGAGCTGCTGCCCGACCCCGGAGTTCGAGGGCAACTCAGTTATCGAGTCCAACGACTCGGTGAGCGAGTGCTCGTCGTTCTCCGATGCCCCTCCTTCCGTTCGGCGTCGATTGTTCTTGGAGGCGGCGGATGGCGGCAGAAGATCCGGGATGTCGTCGGCGGACAGGCCTTCGACCGAGTCCACCACCGATTTAGGCCTCAACTTCCTTCCGTGCAGGTTCTTCCGTTTGCTCGACAGGTGGGGCGTCGCCTGCCGTTCAATCAACATCATTGTCATTATAGTGCATTACCATTATACCACAGATCGGAGAAACGATTTCACTGTTTATTTCAATTTCTTTGATGCGCTCTTTGCGCCATTTTACTTACGAGGTTCAAGTAATCCAACTGCAAGCCATGCGGCAAAACAAAGCAGAGAATAATGTTCAACATGGGTTAGTGTATGTATAACATATAATTATGTACTCGCGTTTACATTTTGTTATATGAAATCACACGATACGTCCAGACACACCGTAATTCGACGAGCTGGATTTATTCCCACATCTGTGTGTGCCAATATGTATCATATGGTGTTTTATCCAAAGTGAGAAACGTTTGTAAAACCATGCACCGAGTATATTGTAAATTTTTCAAGCAATAATGACCAAGTAGTCAACAGGGTGTCATTTACGTGTTTTGAAATCGGTACAAGGTATGGGTTCGTAATGATCCCTGACCAAAGTGAACAATGGTAATTACGGTGATCAATGAGTGAGCAAATAAATTGAGGTAGCCGTGGACTCACAATCGGCGAGTCGTCGTCCGCGGAAAGCCGGCCCATGGCTTTGCCAAGGAGAGTGCGATTGTCGTTGTTTCCGGTGCCTTGGGATCGTCGCTCGTCTTCCTCCTCTTCATCCTCGTCCTCGTCGTCGTCGTCCTCCTCCTCGTCCTCCTCGTCCATGACGAGGCTCGTGTGCTCGACAACCGGTGTACCCGCGGACATGCTCAGAGACATACCACCCGACCCCACGCCGATGATGCTACCACCGCCACCACCACCGCTGCTCGTCGAGCCAGCGCTCGGCCGCAAAACGTCCGGTGTGCTGCTACGCGTGCGGATCTCGCTCTCGCCGATCAGTGACTTGTAGCTCGTCGACAGGGACTCTATCACCTGGTCCGTGATCCGGTCGGAGATGTGCGCCGCCACCGATAGATTCAACTCGCTGAAACGTCAAACGCAAGTTTTATTATGTTTTTGTATCGTCATGCGAGCCGATTGGTGAAGGAAACTACTCACTTGACTCGGTTCATGATGTCGGCCCCCGCTTGTTCCGTGATGGTGCTCTGTATGAACTCGATGGTCAGCTTGTTCTTCTCCTTGCACGAACTTCTCAGGTGTTCCTCCAGCGTCAGCGAGTCGTTCTCGTCGTAATCGTCGTCCCTGTTGACGACGGTCTGCTCGAGTATGGTGGGACACTGCTCGTTGGCGCACTTGAGCATCGCCTCCAACGAGTCGTGCAGGTACGCGCTGACGACCTTGTGCACCTGGCTCGCGGCCTCGAGTAGCTTTGCCTCGACGGGATTGTTCTCGTCCCGCCTCTGGAGGACCTCGTGCAGCCGCGGCAGCAGCTGCTTCGAGTTGTCCGCGTCCTGGATTATCCCCGTAGCGAAGTTGATGTCCTCGTTGGCGGTGCAGGTTTCCACGACCAGGGCCTTTATCGTGTCTTGCGTCTGCACGACGAGCCGGTCCACCATGTGTTGGGTCGAACTGAGGAGGAACCCCTGCTGGAGCCGGAAGGCTTGCCCGTGGCTGTTTCGGCTCGGCGTGACGTTGCGCTGGAGGTACTCTTGGGTCTTCTTGGTCAACTGCTCGGTCTTCTCCGCGGAAGCCTTCATGCACGGCTGGATATCGTAAATCGGGCACGGCATGTGCCTCACGCTGTAATTCCTGAAACGAGTCGATCCAATGTACAATTTCGATCCAACTCGGGACAAAAAAAAAGTAACGAGGACTGACGAGGAAGAAATGTAAGGAACTTTTGCTCACCTCTCGAGGGCGTGTACAATGTCGGCGTACCCTTGTAGGGTGATGTTGTTCTTGTCGTAAACTATGGTCTTGAGATGGTTGTTGATCTGGAGGGCCTTGGCGAGTAATCTCGCGCCCGGATCCCCGATGAGGTTGCCACTGATGTCCAGGGTTTTCAGGCAAGTGTTGCTGCCGAGGGCATTGATGAGGTTGTACAGGTCGCCTTTGAGCCGCGAGTCCGGCAGGTGGAGCGCCTGCAGCACGCAATCTTCCTCCTGGAGCATCTGGACGAGGGAATCCATCACCACGGCTATGTGCTTGCTCTTCATGCCGAGGGTGTTGCGACCCATGAACAGATGTTTTATCGATTTGTTTTTGCTTATCGCAGTTATGACTTGAGCTAAATCCACGTCCATGTCTGCAAGTGGAGAACAATCGAATGGATGGTCCTTTGTTTTGGGAATTGCGTGAAAAAAAAAAAAAAGTGTTCTTACTGCTGTCGGAAATGTCGAGCGAGGCGATGCATCTGACGCCGTGGATGCAAGATTCGAGCACGTGAGCACCCATGGAGCCGAGGTTGTTGCCGCTCATGTCGAGCTCGAGGCCCACCGTGCTCTCGTTGCACGCCAATCCGAGCAACAAATGCTTGAGCGCCTCGAGAGGCAGCTTGCACGAGGAGATGTTTAAGTACTTTAACGACAGAGTGGCCGTGAAAAATTGCTTGAAGCTCGGCGGGATTTCTTTGGTTTTTTTACTCGAGAACGAATTACGGGCGACGTTCAAGTGGACTAGATTCGTTGCGCAACCCCTCAGAAGAGCACCGAAAAGCTGGAACAAAACGTGCTTTCAGTTTCTTCGTTTTTCATTTTTTTTTTCTTTTTTTTTTATACATGGATCAAAAAAACACTTACACATTCCAAAGTTGTGTCCGTTCCGCTGAGATCCAAATGGGTTATTCCATTTGGCTGGGCTAGAAAGCTGCATAGGTTCTGAAATGTTAATAAACGAGCCAAGTTGCTGTTTTCCCATTACTTCGATCGATACAAGTATTTTTCCGAATTAAAAAAAAAAAAAAAAAAAACTCACATTGACGTCATCCTTCAAGGTGTTTTCGGCGAGATTCAAGTATTGCAAGCTTGTCGGCATGCTTCGATTCAAGCTCAAGGCGTGCGCTATTTGGCCAACGCCTTTGCCGGTTAAGCCGCATCTCGCTAAATTCAATTTTTGCAAGCCTTTGGGCAATTTGCCGAGCGGGCCGGTGGTATGGGCTGCTCCTAGAGGTGCAAAAAATTGGTGCAACCACATAAAAGACATTGGTTTAGTATCGTTTTCGCCAACTGTAAAACATCGTTCTAAATGCGTGAAATGAACAATTAACTGATTAGAGCGATTAAAACATAGTATTTTGTCGAGCTCCTGCATGAAAAAAGTATTGTCGATTCGATTTTGTATAAAATTTCATCATAGTCGTAACATAACTTTACAATAATTTACATTAATCTAAACAAAACTAGAAAAGAGACGACACGTTTGAAAAAATAAAACATGAAGGAGTTGTTTGTCATAAATTGTCATTGAATAAACGATACCTTGGGTCAATTTGGCTATCGCTCCACATAAGCTTGTGACGCCTTTATCTTCAATGGTATTGCTGGATATATCTATGGTGTGCAACACGGCGTTGGTATTGGCGATCAATGCCAGAGACAATTTATGTGCAAAATCCCTGAAAGTCAATCAATGTGTCAATAAAACTCTTGTAAAATGGTGAGGCAGTCTCGTACAAATTTTTAAATTGAATTCGATTAGGATCAATACCACTTTGCTCCAATGTTGTCTAAAAAAATTTCTTGAATGGAAAGAGATCGTTTGAGTACGTGTAGCAACCGTTCCAACGGCTCGTGGCTAAGCTTAAGATGAGAAACGCGTACTTTTGTAAACCACGTGTTGTACTCCAGAGCAGATATAATCGGTACCAAATCTTTTTGGTCGAGATGGTCAAAGTCTCTGAGATCTAATTCTCTTGTATCGTGAGACAAATATATCGTATCAACATCCTGAAAAAATATGTATTATTAACGTACATGCGTATTTAAAAAAAAAAAAAAAATCTCAATTATACGACTAAGTAGTAGTAGTAGTAAAACTGACCCAAGCAACTTCTTCCCTGTAAGGTACATTGTGCAAGTCACACATGCAGGCATACTGCGTGGAAAACCCGCCACAAGGGCCTGTGTGTCTGGTTGCCTCTGTACTTCTGGCCAAATCGCTACCTCGTATACTTTGCAATCTGGTGGCCGGTATTACATCGATTTTTCTTATTATGTAGCTGTTGATAACAGTTTAAAGAGAATATATGTCATCATTGTCGCTAACCGCATGTATTTTACGCTTGAAATATCAATGGCTCACTTTAAAGGTACGGTCGGAAATATATTTCGAATGGCAGTGTGAAGTGCTTCTATCATAGCGTCTACTTCCGAAGTATCGACGCTTCCTAGGCCCATTGTGACGAAATTGTATATCCTTTCTCCAACTGTGAGCGACAATTGGTTGGCCCTTTTCGACTCGACTGACGTTATTTCCAAATAATGAAAATGACAGTCGATCTGTTGGTGCAAAGATTTTTCGTTACACTATGGCTGAAAGTGCTAATAACGTGCCACGGGAGAAAATAAAGAATTTCACAGCATGCGACCTTCTTTATATTTCGAATCATCACAGTAAACGGTCAAATAGTGCATTGTTTCGACTTACCCTTGTAGGGACTTTGGCCGTTAATAGAAAGAGGCGACATGGCGAAAAGACCTAAAATTTTCGTAAATTAAAATCAGAACAATTTAATTGTTAAAACAACTCATTTCAAGCGTTTACTCACTAAAACACGATTCTCGAGCTTATCCTGCTTAGTTTCCAACTTGACAACGTTTTTCAGTAATATTTTAACGTGTTTCCCCAACAACGTCTTCACCGACTCTGAAAACAGAAGGAAATCCGATATACCGTCGAATGATTTTCCATAGCGCTCACTCCAATTTAATTTTGTGATTGTTTTGCGCGGCAAACGTATATATTTCAAATACCATTCGTATGGTTTAATCAGCTTTTGTACATATAAACATTTTGATTTCTCGGGCCACGTGAATTTAAATGATTCCGCGAGTGAAAGCACAAACAAATGGTTTACATATAGATGTTAATTTTATGCATATATGTACGAGAAACGATGTCACGTCGACGCTGTTTTCATTTATGAAAAGCCATCTGCTTTGACTTTGAAGTCTCGAACGTAGTGGCTAAACGCCGATGGCGAATGAGAAAAAAGCTCGGCGAAACATTAAATTGTAAAATCAAAAAAAAAAAAAAAAATTAAGGCCAAGAAAAGAGGTCCGTGCGCCCGTACACACGCAATAGTTGTGTGTTGTATGGGTGCGCGTGTGGGTGTGTATACATGCGCGCTTGCAGGGCGGCACGTCAATACCGGACGATATAAAGAGCAAGGGAGGCAAAGACGGAGAAAAAAAACACACACACACACATAGAGACGTTGGAGGGGGCGGGGCAGTTGTAATAAAAAAAAAAACAAAAAAACAATAAACAAAATGATTTGGAGCACAAACGAGAGGTAAGTACAACTGATCCCTGACAGCTCCAAAAACCCCGAGTCTGGAAGTGACATGACAACCCCTTGCACCGTGGCTACGGGTTAGCCAGGATGATTGGAAACAGTGCGGAGGGGAAAAAAAGAATCACTCACCGTTCAAATCCTTGGTCAACTGCGATCTCGTAGACATTTTACGGCACTGGCCAAGAAGGCGCTCGCTCGCTCGGGATCGAGCTCCTTCACAGTTGGGCCTCTGGTGCAGCGCCCGGACATTCAGGAGACCGTGTGGCTGGCCAACTCCACTGTGGAAGAAGACTCATCGGTCCGAGCGGGGCAAGGGGTGACCCGGGAGCTTTTTTTTACTCGCTGGCCAGCCTTCGCCGAGCTCCCAGGCTTCGCCTTCCCGAGTTCAACATCTGACGGCTCGTTCCCTGCACCTTGCAGTGCCAACAAGGAAAACGACGCTCGAGTCGTCGCTTGGTTTCTACGCTGTCTCGGAACTCGACATTCTTGCCCCGCGGGGATGAAGTGATGACCCACAGCTAAGCACCAGAGTCCACGCACTAGCACCGGATTGTCCAACTGTTTGGATATATTGAGCGAGCGGGTGACGATTATGTGATGAACTGACGACTCATCGACGATTTTACCACCTCCTCATCTTTATCCGACAGTTTTACGATTTACTACCTACGGGGCATCGCGACACGCCGTTGACGCGGCTGAACGCCGAACTGAGCCAAATATGCGAGCACGAGAGCGCGTGTGCGGATATGCTATAGGTATATAGGTATGTGCTCATATACTTGTAAAATAATATCATATCTATGTTGTATGTAAACCTTTTAAATGATGTATACAACATTGCATTTTCCCCGAAAGTGAGTATATTCCCTTGGTATTTCGAATTGTAAATCAAGCAAATGGAAAACAGTTGGTTTTCATGTGTTTTTCGATGTGGCGCACCTACGAGGATGACCCACGAGCACTCGAGAGTATGTTTATTGGCAGCATGACCTACATATTAGGTAGCGATGAGAGAGAGAGAAAAAAAAAAAGAAAGAAAGAATGAAGGAATTCAAAACTACTGGGGTTCTCATTGCGCTATATTTATATACTCATGCAATGATAACAGCTCTATTTTCCAATCAAAAAAACCAATTTAGCAGCTAATTTGATGAAAAATAAATACTGAGCAATACTTGTGGTAAAAATAGACTTTCGGCTTCGGCGTTGATAATAGCTGTATTGCTATTTTTCTTTTTTTTGTGTCTATATATATATACTATTGAGGCACGAGTACGAATTAAAAAGCAATTGAAATAAATTTAAAAAAGTCTAATTTCAAGTGATAAACGTAACCGATGAGCGAGCTGTAGGTTTATTCAACTTTGGAGCTTAGTGGCGTCGGCGCGGTCGTTTAAATGTTCGGAGAGAGCGCTCCGATGCTGCCCCGATCGGCACGGATGAACTGACCAAACGTAACGTATCGCACTGGGCGGGAAGTACAATTTCGTAACCCAAATAAAAAGAGGTGCGCGTGAATGGGCCCGTGTATAATGCACTTACCTGTACCGGTAGGCTTCCCCCTTCGAAGGGTTGATTTTTCAAATGGGCGCGTAACGCTTACTCAACTGTCAAGTGACTGCAGTACTGACTGATCAGGAGTATAGTCATTACGGTTGAGAAATGTTAAAGAGAGCGTCAGTCCCCGCGTGGTCTTGCTCTTTTCCTTCTTCTTCTTCTTCGGAGGTGGAGGAAAAGTCAATTAGGCAGCGCGCATAGCATAATACAAGCACGTGAGAACGGGGCCATGTCACGTGGAGAAAATACGCTCAACCGGAGAGTAATATACACGCATACTTGGTTTTTTTTTTACCTCCACCTGTAATGCCTTCCGTTATATTGTAAGATGCGACGGCTGCATTGAAGTAGACGGAAAACGCTACTTCTCGGACTACAATAGTTTGTTCGTAGGTATAAGGAATTCCTTTGAAAGATTTCAAAGTAATTGTTCCGATTCCCATTACAATTGGGCGCAGATACTTTAAATCTTACCGCCTTGTCACTCGCGTCGCCGCAACCCTGCCTCTTTCATGTACCTATACGTTGCACTACCTAGCGGTGCGATTGCATAGATACCAATGTTGTGTTTTCAATTTTCGATCGCTCTTCTCCTCTTTTTATGGTGGACGACTGAAAGTGTCTTTTATCGTTGAATTCGGGAAATTAATGTTTTTTCGTTAGTACGTTATCTGTGATTCCGCAAATGTTGAGGATAACATAGAAGGTAAGTTGATTTTCGTGTTTTAGTTAATGAATTTTTTATATTTTTAAGACAAAGGTTGAATACTTGATTGCCTAGTTTCTCAATTTCAGAACAACAATAATGGGATAGAAAATTCTGGTGTTTCGTTTGTAAGATAAAAAATATGGATTTTAAGCAGCACGAACTACTGCTTTTGTTATTAGCTGGAGACTGGAGAAATTTTTTTCACGTAATGTTAACAATAATTCGAAGGAAACGCTAATTCTTAACGTCGAGCTTCACTTTTAAATTATTTCTTCTACAGATGTGGGATGTATATTTTTCGGACGATTTCGAGAAAACTGTCACTTATCAAGTTATGACGCTAAAACTACGAGTACACTTTGCCATTTTGCCAATAAGAATCATTGATCTGCATCAACACATAAGCTGCAGTATGAACAATTATTTTTGATTTCCTTAAATATTTACATATTAATACAAATTTTTTTTATCATTACTCAGGATTCCATGAATCCAGTGAAGTGTCAAAAATTTTGGAAAACGCTGCTCATCGGTTTAGTTTGACAAATTGCGAAATGGTACGTAGTATCGGTAATTGTGTTGATAATTTTTTTTTCATAACATATCTAACATATTATTCTTTTTATGAATATTTCGTATGTAGCTAAAGGTAGAGTTACGTGTGACAATGTTAGTAAATTGAGTACATTTAGCCTGTATTTTTCTAAATTAATAATTTATTAAGGATGTGGATGGCGAAGAACGCAAGGATAGTATGAAACAACTCGAAGAATTCCTCAACTCTTGCGATGGACAGAAACTAGCCAGAATATCGAAATGCAGTTCAACATTATTCGCCTTGCCATATATTTCCAATCCATTTGAGGATGAATCCATGAAAAATATCTTCAGCATCGAATGGGTGGAAAATTTAATTAAAGATTTAGAAAAATTTGTGATCGATCAGGTAACGATTAATATTTTTTAAACCTCTGGATTTTAGAAATTCGTAGGCACGACTGTACTTTACAAGAGTGACTCATATTTTTTCTAGAGCGAACAGCGTACTTTTTTATTTTATTTGTAAAACTAATTTTTAACTAGTAGGGTTCATGTATTTTACAAAAATCTGTTTTTTGTTCGGTGATTTTTAAAATTGATGTTTTACACCCGTATTCCTTGAGAAAAACTTATCGATCTCTTTAAAGTAAACTTTATTTGCTAAAAAATTTAATATTAAATTATACAAATAAATGTTTTTTATCGAACATTGTTCTAACGCTTTAAACAACGAAAATAATTCAAGGTTGGCAAAATAATTTTCTTACTAATTTTTTTTATTTTGTTTTTTTTTCAACATAATTTTTTTTCGCTCTCGTTAAAAATGTGTATCTGTCGTGCCCTATTATGTAAAATAGTTTCTTTGCTACTTTAATATGATACAATTATTTCATTAAAAAAAAAAAAAAAACAAGAGTCCTTTGAACACACGGCATTCACTTTCCGATATGATGAACGAATCCGTAAACACAGTACCCTGCACTGACAAAATAGTTTCGTCAGTCGCTAAAAATAGAGAGATTCAAAAGTGGATCACTGATCATCAACACGTAAATAACAGTAACAGCTTGTGCACAAAGTAAGTAACCAAATCTCATTATCGCATTATCCCCAATGAAAAGTGACATTTCTTTTTTTTTTTTATTTAGAGGTACGCAGACGCATTTTAGCTGTATTGGTAAATCTATCGATTTTTCTATGATAAATGATGATATTTTTGCTGAGCCAAAGAAACAAACCGCTTTACGCGAGAATGAGCTCACTTCAACGAAAGAAAAGTTATTTAAAGTTTACAAGCACTATAAAAAATTGAGGTTTAAATTTCACCAATTGCACGAAGACTACCAAAAAATCAACAAAATCGCCGAAGAATTAACCGTTGCCCTAGAAAGTTCTGTACAAGGCCAACCAGTACATTTTGATACGATTATGCAAACTTGCTTAAAAATCTTTCCCGACAGATTTCACAGAGAAGTACAGACTGATTCCGAGGCAAGCTATCATAAACACTAACTTTTTTCCTTTATTTTTTTTTTTAAATATGTACTGACTCAAAACCCTTCACATACGTGACAATAAATATCAAGACATTTAATCCCAATTTAAATTATTTGTAGGACACAAGTATAGATTTGCAAGAGGAGACGATTAAAGATATTTTTATAAAAAACGAAAAAACAAATACGGATCAAATTTTAGTGCCAGCCAAGTTATTAGACTATAAAAAAATAAAACTACATTTGCAATGTGAAAGCGTGAGAGTCAAAGGATTACTACTTCAAGCTTTACGCCAAGTACGTCACTTTTCATCCATAATCATTTCGTTAAAAAACTCATTAAATTTTTATGCATGCATTTTGCCGCAGAAAATTACGTTAAACAGTTTGGAGCACAGAAACGATACCATAAGCGAGTACGTGAATAACGATTTATTAGGAATATGCGGGAATTTATCCGATAGCAACGAAAGCGATTTATTAAGCCGGATTTTGCAACCAATAGACTCGGGTGACAATCAAAATTTCATTCAACAATGCACCGCACGCCTTTTGAACGCAGTGGTATCGTTGAAAATAGGCCGAAATTATTTAACTTCTAGCCCAATCGCACTGAATGCGGTAAGAAATGTACCCATTTGTTTTATTCCGTTACGATGGTGTACGGATTATACTTATAGTTATTTTCCGACGAAAGTAAAGGAAAAAATAGCAACATGGACTTGGACTTGATTAATTTTGCAGATAATAAAATATTTGGATTCGAAACCAGGCGATTCGATAACCCTGAACATGCTGTTGGGCACACTCCAAAAAATGTCACTGAGAAAGCAGCAAAGAAACTACATGGTCGAGGCGAATCTAGTTGAGTGGCTCGTACATCACTTGAACGATGAGGATTTCAGAAAAGACGCGTACAGATTGGAATACGCTTGCGCGCTGCTGATGAACCTGTCGTTGAGGAGCGAAGCTCGACTCCGAGCCTCGCTGATTGCCCCCTTGCTTGTCTCGACAATGATAACTTTGTTGTCCCTAGATCACGCATCGGTAAATTTTTTTTTGAAATATCGCATCGATTTTCTCGTGGAAAAAGTACCGATAATCTTTATCCGTACAGATACTACCATACGTAAATGGAGCACTGCAAAATTTTCTGCTGAACAACGAAGTTAACGAGGAGGCCAAGAAATTTCACTTTGAAAAGATTTTGGAGTACCGATGTACCAAGAGCACCGATGACACTAGGTAAATGACTCCATGCTTGGCTATACTTATTTCACATCACACATCATGATGATGATTTTTGCGTATAGAAATCACTTTTCTCACACGTTGAGGATCCACAGGAGGAAGAGCGAGGAGTGTTTATCGGACGATGATGAGTTATCGGACGAAGACGATGTGAGCACTCGATTATTTGGTGAAACTCGCGGCAAAACTCGAAATTTTAGTGGCCATACTTGTACTTTTAGGAAATATTCGACGTTTTGGAGAAGCAACTGGAAGAAAATGACCCCGTCCGAGTCGAGGCTGATGAATTTCAAGGTGATCAACTGTTGGCGCTGTCCTATGCGCTTTCGGCTTTTCTTTTGCAGTCGACGGATTTTTTTCACGAAAAAGTCGAACAAAAATCTACTGTACGCTCCTTCAGGTAAGAGGCTATACAAATACTTGCATGGAACCCTCAATATTTAATCGGCAGTTGTTGCACCGATGTTTGTTGTAACTCGTTTAGAGAAAGCAAGATGGCGTATCTGTGAATGAGTAGGTACTTCTGGAAGCAAGCCCGTGTCGTTATCACCGGGATCCGGCCGCAATGTTATGTATGAGATTTTCGCAGCTTCGGCAAGGAAAAGTAGTGCAGCCGTGTCCTATTTTTTCACTGACCAATATGTAATGAACTGCGTGAGTATTTCTATGCCCTGATAAACTTTGTTGGGCGCGCCACAAATAATATCGAACATCTACTTTTATTACAATTTTCACCACTACGAGCTTTCACTTTTCTTGTGTGCTGATTTGCATCTTGCGATGATGTTATCAGTATTTTACATTTTTTTTTTTTTAATTTAACCAACTACTAACATGATTAAAAACTTTCTGATGAGAAAGTGGAATTAAAAACGTTTGTTACCAATTTACATTTGTAAGAGATGGAGATGCTCGATAAAGTTGAAAATTTTTAAACATGTACTCGAGATTAGAAATAATAAACTTGTTTTTGCAAGGAGAAAGGCAGTTGGATTTGATTTCAAGAAAAAATTAAAACAACTTTAGATCGATGATTTTTTTGTTGTTGTATTTTTTATTAACAAATCATTGATATAAAACTAGAAGTCTAAGAATAGAGTAGTAACGTAATACATATTAAATTAAGAATACAATTTAATAAATATTCTCATGCGCTCAATCACAGCACGTACACTTTACATTCGTTTTCCACATTTGTAGTTTTCAGGTCAAGTGTATAAAGTAAAAAAAAAAAAAAAAAATCAATTTTTACAAACTGAGTAAGAACCCATTTAAAGAATACATTTTTCATTTTACTTGTTTCCCGATGGATTCAGTTTTTGTACATATATTTATATAAAAAAAATACCGCTACTTATGCATGTTATCTATTGTAAGAATCGAAATGAAAAGAGACGGCCTTACGTGTAAAAATAATTTAATCAGTCCTCTCGTGAAAATCGTTGTTGTTGATCGTGTCATTTTTGGTTTCTCCATCACGAAACCTCGTATAGTTTCGTCGTAAATGTAATATAAATTTCCACTTGCCGAGGACCCACAGTTAAGAGTATTAGATTGTGGTAGACTCACACGCTGGAGAGGAGAATTACGCCGAGTACCCGAGAAAAGGACTACCTCCGTGTCCACCGGAAAAACTAGAGGCGCTCGAGTAGCTGCCGGGATAGCTGTGCGTGTAGCTCTGCAATGAAAAGGAAAAAAAAAAAAAAAAAAATTATAATAACGGGTTTATAAGTACAAACTAGTGCGCGAGCGTGTACCGACCATGGAGCTCGGGGCTCCGGAGACGTAGGCAGGGTGTCCAGAGGGGGCGGACGCAAAGGCCGAGACTCGGCTGGCCTTGACGGGGTACGAGGGACCCGAGCCGAGAGCGAGACCTGCCCCGCTGGACGGGTGATAGCTCGGTGAGTGACCACCAGCTGGGCTCTCGCGGACGACGATGATCTTGCCTCCCATACCGGTGTTACCGGTGGCCCCGTAGCTCGAGACTAGGCGCATCGACGGGTAACTCTTTGTGTAGCCCAAACTCGACGGCCCAGCCCTGTAAAGCCACGTATTACATATATCTGCTCGCGTAACCATCACCGTCGTCTCCAGCCTCGCAAAGCTTACCCAGAGCTGAGGTAGTAACCGCTTGGACTGGCCACCGGGGCATGGGGAGCGCCGGCCGAGTAGTAGCCCGAGGGCGAGGAGGGAGAGGAGGCGGCAGCGATGAGGGAGGAAGCGGAGGGGGGCAGGTGGCTGGCGCTGGTCGAGGCGTCGCTGAACAAGCTCTTGATGGCTCCGAAGACGGACTGGTACTTGCTGGGGTAGCTGGAGGAGGAGGATGGTCCGCTGCTCATGAGGTAGGTCTTCATGTAGGGCATCATGGGCGGTAGGGGGGGCTGACCGTGGGCCTGGCCGTGGATGATGCCACCCGAGGAGTAATCCTCGGGCAGGGAGAAGCCGCTGGAGGTGGTCGGGTGGTGGCGGTGCCCGCTGCTGCTGCTCCCCGGGTAATCGGCCACCGACAACGACGAGGACACGGATCCACTGAGACCGCTGGTACAAATACGATTGGCGTTAATTCAACATTTTCGATCGTATCTTTACAATGGTCTTGGCTTTATAATAACAAATTGAGGCCTCTGTAACTCAACAACTGTAGCAAATCACGTGATACGAGAAAAAACGTAACAATCATCACAAACGTAATAATATTGCATTTCGAGTAACGTGTATTTTGTCATTTTATTGGCCAAAAAGTGCCGGATAAAGATAAATTATAGGACGAAAATTACAAAAAAAAAAAATGCGATAATTTACGAATTAAAAATGGCACCATAAATTGAAAAAATATCAAGAGACCCACCCATACACAAGTAGGTTAAATATAGTAAAAGAAAAAAAAAAAAAAAAAAAAAGGCTGTGGAAAAAAAAAATTGAGAAAAAAAAAAAAAAAAAGTAATTCAGTTCCGGCACGTCTCGGGCAAAAGTCAGAGACTCCCTACGGATAATATTGGGGGTAGTCACCCGTGCGAGTAGCTCGTTGGCCGGGACGGCGCGTACTCCGGGAGCCCGGGACTGCCGGCGTAGTTGCCGAGATAACTGGCCGGCCTGCTCTGCTGATGGTACTCCAGATCACCAGCCCCGCTAGAGTAGGAAGGGTGCGGTTGCTGGTGGCCCTGATGGAACTCTTGGCTGCGATCGCCGTAGCTGCCAGAGAAGCCCCCGTTGCTCGAGTAGTCACCCGAAGAAGCGGAGGAAGAGGAGGAGGGGGCGCCAGAGGCCGCGTTCGCGGTGTAGTCCACGCTGCTGTACTGCACCTGCTGGCCGGGTGAGGACGGGTCACCCGAGGACGACGAACCGGAGCTCGAGGACGAGCCGGCGGGGTAAGTTGGGCGCAGAGAGTTGACGACAGCCTCGCTTCCGTACTTGCTCTTGTAGAAACTACCGCCGGTGCTGCCTGCCCCTCCCGTGCTGCTGCTACCACCGTTGGCGCTGGTCGCACGTAGATCGGCACTGTCAGCGGGGCAGGAGGGCAAAAACAATTTTAAATATCTCGGAGCGTGAATAATATGGCACACTCGCGTGGGTTGTTCTTATTCCTACCTGTCGCTCGTACTGTCGGTGGAGTAGCGCGAGTCGATTTTGGCGTAAGGCGAGCCACCGCTGCCGATATCGGCGTAGCTGCTCACGGGCTTCGCAGCTACGTAGCCGTTGCCATGGTACTCGTAGTCCCGCATCAGCCCGCTCGGATTCGAGGAGTAAACTTTTCGAGGACAACAGACAATAAAAACAATACCTGGTTATATTTACGATCGCTTCCATCCTTCGGGGTGAAAGTCATCGGTTTCTATATGGTTTCGCGCGATTTCTCCTCGGATGTATACCGATTTTTCATGCCAATTAAATCGAGAGGTACGCGCAACGCGCCTTTCTTCCGATCCGCCCCGCGTTTCATCTCTCGCTCGGCAAAGGCTACATATTAAATGCTTCATCTAGATATTTTGATGTATATATGTATGTATACACACAAATGGATTGTTTCGCGAAATCTCTGCTCTAAAACAACAACTGGGTTTTACTGTAAGCTCCACTTATTTTTTTCCCCAGTCAATGTTACTAACTATACCGAAGACCGAAAGAAAGTAAACTGCATCGGTGTAAAATGGAAAACTCGAGCCAAAATGTGTCAACTTTAGTTTAGTTGTATCCATGGAGTGACTGTTATACGCGTCCTCCAAAAAAAGCTGGAAAAAGTAATTTAAAAAAAAAAACTGAATTTGTACCCATTTTAAGGTGTACGCATTCTCGGTCGATGCTTTGTTTCTCCTGTTCCGATCCAACGATCAATAACGTACCATATCCTCTCCTGCTCCCCCTTCCGCCAATGATACACACGCCGAGATTTCTCCCGGGCGCTTTAATTACCGTGGAGCGAGAGTGATTCCCAACGAAGGCGCTCGCGCGAGCAATGAGTCGGTATATATATAATTGTAAGTGTTGGGTATGGAAGCAGTTCATCTATTTTCATTTCTCCTCCCCCCCCCCCCAACCGTTAATTGTTAATTGGAAGTACCGACTCGAGAGAAACCATGCAAATGCAAAAGTGCACCGATGCTTGTATATGTACGTATATAAGTACCTCATACACTGCCACACACAATTTGAGAAAAAGCAAGGCTATATAGATCGCGTGTCCGCGGACTTGTGCAGTATAGCGGAGAAAGCCGCGAGTGCATAGGCCAAGGATGTATGTTTAATGGACATAGGCGTGCACCATCGGTATATAAATATGTACTTATACATTACACACACACACTCTCGGGCGTATACGAATTTCCTTGGCGCCGGTGCAGCGCGAAGGCGCGCGTTTTCCTATTTATATTTCACGTGCCACTGCCCGCCTCGGCGAGCATGTGTGCCGCGCATGTTGTTGTTACCTCTTCTGCACATAAGTACGTACGTACGCGCAAGGATCTCCGAGAAGGAAAGTGGAGCAGTAAGCCTCCTGTTTCGCGACGCTCACAGGAACGTAAATAAAATGTACAAGTGTATATATATATATATATATATATATATATATATATATATATATGCAGCTGTACCAATAACGATTATCATTACTTTCTGATGTATATACTGTTGAGGATTCGCGGGTGCGTGCAAGCACATCTTTGCCTCTGTCGTACACCCAATAGGGGTTTAAAACTCGAATGGTATGCTTGCATACAGAATTAATAGGGTGACAGATTGAACGCACGTGTATATAGGTATCTAATGTATACTGCATGACAAGACGAGCCATTGACACTTAACTTTTTTGGTACTTACGTTATGTTAGGCGGTTAATGTTAAAACGACCAATCAATCGAGTTTCGATAAACTTGTCAAACAGTGCAAATTGAGTTAATTGTTACTTACTGCGGACAGATGAGGATTCTGCCGATACTACGGCCATGAGTAGGACCGTTGCTAAGATCTGAAAACATTTCGTTTCATTAATAATCAACGATTTTTTTTTTTTTTTTGTGGTACGCATACATATTTACAGTTAGCTCATTAAACGTATGAATAATTTGAGGAAGCGAGCAAAACCCCTTATTTTTACATTTTTTTTTTTTACATAGGTGGATACAATAATAACACCAAGCAACCCCTGTACCCCATTGTTGCATCCCTGAAGGTCTAGATAGAGCTACACTCTATTTTACACAGAAAATCCAAGTGTGTTTGAATAACTGATTTGGAAAGAGTAGTTTAAACTTTTTTTATTTTTACCTCAAAACAGTGTTATACATTTTTTTTGACAAACAACTAAATCGACGATTCAGAGCTGATTAATAAATGGCAACACACATACATCATTGTTTATTCACATGACTATTAACGATGCATTTTTTTTAACTGGGTAAAAATTTTAACAACTAACTTGAATTTGCAGTATTGGTGCTAATAATTAAAATACTATATCATATTATTAAGGAACTGATTCCTAAAAACTATCGAGCAAGTGGTGAATACAAAAAACAAAAAAAAAACAAAAAAAAAAACAACAAATAGAACAAAACTCACAGAGAACATGTTGACTTTGCAAAAACCAATAAATCACTTTGTTTTCACTGTATATCTCCGCACTTGTACCAAATAACAAACAATAATGTAAAACCAATGGAAAAAAAAAAAAAAAAAAATAGCCGATTGCTGCCAGATATACGACAATATATCTGGCTACCGACTGGCTGTCAAATATTGTGCTCTAGCTTTTTATAGCTAGCCGGGAGAGGCAGGCCAAGCCGAGAGGAGGCTACTACTCCTCCAGTCCCCCTTTCTCGCTCTCCCGTGCGCGGCTCCCTGTATACAAGCCGTGATTCCCGCGAGAGTCACGAGATCTCGGACGAATCGCGGGACATTGGCTTTCGCGCCATACCCATTATACGCTTGTACTGTTACTATACCTGTGCATGGGCTGTATAGACTATAGGTGGCCATGGCTTTCGGCTCACCAGAATCGCTCGAGAATACACGTGCAAGCCGATACGGACCAATCATTATTATCACCATCTGTTGGCTGTCATTAGACGTTGTTGTTGCGGAGACTCGGATTGATGGGCTACGCCGTCCTGTGGTCCCATGGGATTGAAAAAAAAAAAAAAAAAAAAAATTAACTTTTCACGACTGTTGTCGCTGCTCGTTAGTTCATAACTTCTACGGTATAGGTGTATCCCTCAAGGCTAATTAGAAGGAGGGTGCTTTTTATGCTCACTTTCGTTCAAGTACCAGTGCAGTACGTCGACACTCTCGGTGTCGAGGAAAAAGTGAAATCGTCGCCTTTTCTCTCATGCGTTTTTCTCCTCCGTCTCTTTCTCACTCCCTTGTTTTAAATTTTTAAATTTCAGGAAGGTAAATAAATGTGCTGTACAGTACGTATGCGTATATCTATAGGTGCACCGTACCTCCAGGTATTTCGTACAATAATCAACAGTGACTTTCAGCACGCGATTGGACCATTTCTGTAACAATAAAAATTTCAGCCGCACTTTATGCACTAATAAAAAATACTTGTGGTTTGTTTTTTTTTTTAGATGCATGTACATATATTATGTAGATCTTACGCTTAATTGCAACAGGTAATAACCACATAGCGATGTATACCGAGTGTTCGGACGAGGTGAAAACGCGTTCCAGCGATGCAATGAGTTTAATCGTCACTTTGTGATCATAATGATGCCGATGGTGATTTGAAACTTACTGTTATATGAGGAGCTGGTTTCTAAATAAGTGTAACAAGCGCTACTTCGCTCATTTGAATGTTGTTCCAATTACCTTTTTTTCTCTCTCCTTTCTTTCCTTTTTTTTTTTTCTTTTTTTTTCGAGGCAATTAAGACGTTGTTTACAAGAACTGGTATTACCAAAAAGAAAGGAAAAAAAGTTGGCCTATAGAGAGAGAGAACCGGCAAACGCTATTAACGCTCGTACCTACATTTTCCGTGTGTATGGGAGCAATAGCTAAAAAACAGCTGATCTCCGGTACTCACACACACGCTTCTGTAGTCGATACCTTGATCACCGCTGGCATACATATATATAATTATTGCACAGCTAGCAGCACATTATAGCAGTGCCAAGGTCATGGTCACTTGCTGCAATGGCACCCATTGCAAGTGCAGCCGCAATATAAATATATAGTATATTATGTGCATGCACAGGAGAGGGAGAGGAAACATAAAATATACGGAGAAAGGGGGAGCGAAAAACTTTCCATCTTTACGCGATGTTTGTGGGCTCCCGCTACAATCGTTCGGCCAAGTGAAACCGACAGCGTAAGCATATATATGTATATACGGATCTGGACCTATAAGAGCGTCGAATGATAAATCGGCATGAATCGAGAGATTTCTCGGCCGGTGTGCGAGATATTTTTTTTTTTTTTTTCGCGCGCTTCCGTTGAAGCGTTGCAAGTTAACAACTCTGGATCGCCGATACACGATTTCAGATGTATATATATATATATATATATATATATATATATATATATATATATATATATATATATATGCGCGGTTGATGTTGATGTCGTTATCGGTATAACGAACGTCGAATGTACCACACACGTGCGCACACATACTTATGTATGCGCGTGTACTGCACGTACTAACGATTATAGTAGATGCTGTGCAGAGCGGATGCAAAAGCACACGTATGTGTATGAGAGCCAGTAATACCCAATATTACACAGATGTATAGGTGTATATATCATAGAGATTCCCAGCTTTCGTAGCAACAGCCTCTCTCTCTCTCTCTCAACGACATGCGATTCGAAAAAGCGAGACGAGATAATGCCCCGGCTGCACTACTTTTCTTTTTGGGTTAGATCGTTCGTTAGGCGGCTGATGAATTATTTAGTGCCAACGTGGTGTGATGAGAGCGAAGAAACCCTCCCTACACACATCGCACCGATCTCTAATAAAATCGCGCCTGCGATATTCATTCATCTTCGGCCATCAAAGAGAGGGAGAGAGTGAGTTGGGCCCATCAGGTTGCGGACGATTTTCTCACTGCGCACAATTTTTACACTCCACTTGCATTTCGATTTTCCTTGTTTCTTTTTCTCCTTACTTTTTTTTCTCGTTAACACCAGGAAAGAGAAAATTTGAAAGAAATCATGGAAATCGTAGCTGAGCTGATCGTCATCCACCTTTTGTACTTATTTGTATAAGTACATAATATACATAAATATATCCATACAATTGCCATCAGACCTTATTGTTGAGCTTCAAATTTCCAAATGCTTTAATCGCCGTGTAATGTACTTTCCTCGTCGCTTCCTCGTCGATTTATCGATGCGTTATTATCCAGAAATAAATAAATAAACGTCGTTCTTCAAGGCAAGAAAGCTATTGCCTACTGCCCTCGATGCTTTTGACTAAACTCGGTTTTTTCTGAAAACCCATCAAACTATATAATCACGCGATGTACTACCTGTATACTTAAGTCAAACAGTATGGGAGGTACATGTATAGCAACAAAACAAAGTGCATGGGAAAAAAAAAAAACACAACTACGCACACACAGATAGGCTGTCCTATTTTTTATTCGCACTTTTTTGTTGAAAAAAAAAAAAAAAAAAAAACCCTCATTAAAAGCGTACATAACAGTCATTAAGCGTACACGGGGAGACAATAATATAACCCATACGAGAAAGCTCCAGTTACGTGTAATAATAAGGTAGTCTTTTTTTTTTTTTTCTCCCGCGGAGCGGAGAGCTCCGGGAGGAGAGAACACGCGTGCTTGGCTCACAAAAGAAATGCGCGCAGGAGAAAACAATTTCTCGCATCGACGATAAAGAGAACACCGGCTGCTTGCGTGCCTCCTTGTTTTTATTTTCTCTCTCTCTCTCTATTTTTTTTCTTCTTTCGTTTCTCTAGCGCTCGCCCTTTTTTCGATTCGCGGTCTGTGAACTTATAATTTACATTTATACATTTTTTTGTCACCCGACGATATAGTATTTTATTTTTTGCGAATTTTATAAAAAAATTACTTGTCGAATCGGCCGAAAATCTATTCTCTCTATTTGCAACGAAGCGCAGACGTATTTGTGGCGTTTTAGGAAAAATACGAAAAATGCAAATATTCGCGTCATTGGAAAATATAAAGAAAATATGATTGGACCGGACACGACGAAATGTCCATACAGTGGTAAACGCGCGGGGGGACGATCCTATTCGATGGGGCATTCAGCGCAATGCCACCGTATAGCTGTAGATGTACGTGTTTACCTGTATCGAATCGATCGAGGCGTAAAATGAAAACGAAATTCAATTTGAAAACGCTCGCAATTTAGCCGACAAAACTTTCTTGGAACTTTCAAGGCTCATACGAATTGCAGATGTGTCCGACAAAAGTGTTCACTGTATAAACGCCGCGACAATAGTGACCAAGTCGAATCAATGGTCGGGGAAAGTGATAATGCCCCCGCGAGAGTGTGTTCCGGAATATCACGGAGAACGGCAGGAAACAAAAGGAAAATACATTTTCCGCCCTCGGGTGGTTTTGGGAGGCTGGTACTTTCTCGGGCGAAAAAGCAGTTTTCCGGAACTCGTTCGAAAAGTCTCCTTTACGAACCTCGTTACGTCCCTCGCCTTCGGCTCGGGCCGCAAACCTCTCGGTTCGCAAACAAAGACTTTTCAAACTCGTAGGAAAACTACTATTCTCTCCGGTCAGCGGGATTTCGTGCCTTTGAATCGCGAGTATTTGAAATTTCATGCGCCCGGGATCTCGCCTGGAGACGATGAGGTGGCTTTACGTGATTCGTTACGAGAAAGTTATGATTATAATTACTGCAGAATATATTATTATTATTATTATGTACAAACAGTACGGAACCTTCAGTCATTCTTTCTTCAAAGACAATGTACTCATTAAAAATCAACAGTACCTACATAACCACGTGGTGATGAATTTTCTTTTCTTTTTTTTTTTTTTAAGATTTCGCGTGAATTTACTAGAGAAATGATAAATGTATGTAATGAAATAGTTCAAGTACACAGTTTTAGAGTGAAAATCTTGATAAAGTTCAAAACCCCAGCGTAATCGTGGATTTCCAGGTAAGAAGGTAGGATTTTCCTCGGCGTATACATACAAGTCTGAGATACTTACCCGCATGACAATCATCTAGAAATAAGAAAGGTGCCTCGCCTCGCGTTTTCACGGCAACGCTCGATTTCATTTCTGCGGTCGTCGCACCGCCTCCATGGGTTTTTTTTTGGTCCCCTATACATCATCTCGGCAGCTTCATATGGTTTTTTTCCCTTCTTTTTCTTTGGGGCAATGTATACGTGCACATACAGATGTATGCATAAGGACGCGTGAGAATGAATTTTCGGAGAGAGAAATCTGATGGTGGATATACAGCTATGCGCGTGTAGCCATACCCTCAGTATATAGTGAGTGGTCCGGAACTGCGTCAATTTAATTGTAGCGGTCAACACAACACTTTCCTTTTCTTTTTTGTTGCGATGGTATCTACGTTGGTACACCTAACTTCGTTTCGCTTTTCACTTTAGAGTAGCTTTAATTTTTTT